GAATAGGTGTAACCTCTGCTGTTTTCCATGCACGTGCAAATGTGTTGGTAACAAAGGAGTTATTCACAATGTGGGTAATTGTTGTTAGCGTACTGGGTAAACTGTCTTTAAGAATTCTGGAGGATATCTTGTCCATTCCAGGAGCTTTGTTAGATGGTAGGCTTCTAATCACCCTTTCTACCTGATTTTCCGTGACTTGATGGAGAACGAATAATTCGGGGCTAACGTCGGTGGATATGTGTAAAGGTCGGCACGTCCAAATTTACACTAAGTCCATGATGTAAAGATAAGTCCCTGGCTTTTTGAGCAGTAATACTGCCGACGGAGATGAAGAAATCATTTAATTCGTTAGCTAACCCAGTGGGATCCTCAGAAGCCATAAAACTATCTTGTTGTTTACGTGGTAGACACCGGTTAATGATTTTCCAAATTGAATTAGGGTTTCCATTGCTATCCAGGATCTGAGTCCTGACGTGAACTTTTTCGGCCACACGAATCTCCCTTTTCACTTCTTGACGAAAAAATCTGTATCCGTTCCAGTGGAAGGGGTCATTTGTTTTTCCCGCAAGTTTGCGCCATTGGTCGCGCGTTCTCATTAGTTGACGAATTTCTGGTGTTATAAACGGGTTAGGTTTAGATCTAATTTTAACCCTCTTGACTGGAGCATGTTGACTTAGTACTTCCAAGAACAGTTCGTTGAATACATCAACTTGATCGTTGAAATCGTCAAATAGGCTTATTATGTGAAAAGGCGCAAATGACAAATCACGTAGGAAATTGTCGGCGCTGTAATTAGTATAGCTTCTAATAGTGACGTAACAGGGCTTGATCCTTGGCTTTTTTAACTTCAGCGAGATGTAGACAAGATTGTGATCGCTAATAGTTGACATAAGGACGTCGTTTGAAGCAATTAGTTTCTCATTCGTGGTCATCACAACATCGATTAACGATTCCCCATTCTCCGTGGCCCTGGTTGGTTTATTGATTAATTGGGTGAGGTTAAAAGTAGAGCAAAAATCGTTTAAAGCACGGGATTCTGCGTTATCTTGAAGGAGGTTGCAATTGAGGTCACCCAATATAATGACATCAAGACCTGACGGGAGGGATTCGATAAGACTGTTGGCAAGATCATCTATAAAATTTAATGGAGTACTCGGTGGTCGATATACTGTGCAGATGACGAATGACTTATAACAGCGACTTTGCACTTTTAGCCACAATTGCTGAAAGTTATTATCAGAAACTGAGGATACATTCTCCAGTGATGAAACTTTGTAGTTTTTCTTAATGTAAACACATAGTCCGCCGCCAGGTTTGTGCGGGCCACGGTCTTGTCTATACAAAGTGTAGCCTGGAATATGAATGCTCTCGTTGTTGACTGAAGAATCCAGCCAAGTCTCTGATATCGTAAAGATGTCGAAATTATTTGAGACAACGGAATCCTTTAGCAGAGTGAAGTGTTCCCTGGACTTCAAGGAGCGGATATTTAAATGAGCAATCCTGATGTTTGACTTCGTGTTGCAGGGAAAGCTAATATTTGTGTTCGTCGATGTAGATGAAGAATTAGAAGTAGAGTTTGGTCCAGGATGTGGATGAATGTCGCCGCTAAGATTGTTTTCCAGGAGAGATGGGTTAAAAGACGCTGTTCCGTTAGCTGAGTACAGAAGCCGTCTTCGGAGAAACCGCCTTCGCTTCATTCTTTTGTACCATGATTTCAATCCAAAATGGCGGATTCGGCAAAAACTACTAGGATCGAGATAAGGCATCGAGGAAGGTTCTGGGGCGCTTCCCGGTGTGTCAAATCCATGCCCAATTGAGGAAAACCGCCAATTAGAGTAGTGGCTTAGATTGTTCAAGCAGCTGAACAGTAAAAACACGTGGAAAGTGAACATAAGAACGGAGCTAAAAATTAGTTGACCGACCGCCATCGCTGACCGCTGTCCTCCTAATTACTGATGAAATTCCGAGAGTGTGACCCAATTAATTAAAAAAAATTTTCAAGTAGGTTACAGAAATGGTTCACGAATTGTAAACTGATAATGTATCGACAAAACCTACCTAAATTATGGTGCCAGTACGAATTTATCGTTCATAATCACTTATGGAATTCCGAGATTGCACCTCATTGAATTCAACAGAAAATATCCAACGGACTCTCAAAAACGACTCTCGAATTAAAAAAATGGAAACAACAATTATTTACACTAACTATGTGATTACCAGCGTGCTTGTGAGCTCAAACTGCCAAGACCCTGTTTAATTACACGATCACAGCTCAGACACTTCTTGTAAAATGTGATGACTATCGATTTCAGAGATTGATTCTTCATTTTCCAGCGTTAGGAAAAAATACTGTATCGCAAGCATGTTCATCATAACCCGAGCAGTAAGTACGCCTAGAGATGTTGAGATAAGGGAGAGTGGCTCCATGTTTTGTGAGACGATTGAAATTATTTCCTGAAGTTCGTACGAATCGAGTAGAAAGCATGAAAACATAGCGCTGAAAAGTACCATGACTAAAAAATGAAGTTCACTCATTCAGCAGTAGGACTTATTCCAATTTTCCTGTGAGTTTGTTCGCACCACATATTTGCGGTCCGTAGTTTAATTCTCAGATGTTTGACGGGTTCTCACATGACAATATTGTCAAAATCAAATTACCGCGTCAGACTTAATGTAAACACGGACATCACTGACTTAATCTCATTTTATTTCAATTTTTGGAAGGGCTACCACTTCGTTCTTAGGCTACTTCAATACGTCTTCGATAAGGCGCGACTTTTTAAAATGAACAGAGTAAATCCTGCGATAATTGACTGAAGAGAGAAAGAGGTAGAAACTTGCACTCGCCGTTCGCTATCATTTGAAAGCTTTCTAGACAAAACAAAATCCGTAAGATAACTTCTTACGACCGTATGACCGTAAGACCGTACAAAGTATTACTTTCAATATGCGTGGTCAACTGTACGGGAAAAAAAATGTGGGCTCCGCTTTTACGCTTGGCTAAATCTATATATTATATCCTTCCTTACCCTTCGCTAGATATTTGCTTTTTTACTATTGTCTTTTCTTGTTCTCTTTTGTGTATCTTTCACAGTATTCTGCCTATTTTGGTGTCCTCTCTTGCGCGTTTTTCTCGACTCGCTTTACGTCTTTTACTTCTTGTTTTTTTCGGACGCACAGTCTCTTACTTTTCATCCTATTTTCACTTAAAACCCTCTCCACAAACTTGAATCATGACAATTTCCTCCCGTTGACAATGCTTTAGTTCTGCCGGTATTGTTGCTTTGCGAGTTGATTAGAAATTGCGAAATACTGAGAATTACCGTTCAACTTTAACCTTACCAGTTTGATTTCGCGCTCAAAACGCGGGTTGCAAATTAGTTGCTTACACGGCTTCACATCCACTAGCCCACATGAAGCCCTCGTGCAATGCCTAGCCGTGTGCCCGCGGCACGCTTCAATGAAGTTCGACACTTGACTATGCGCACTTCATTGTCATCTGCCGGTGTTTCCTGGCGCACACCTATGGGGTGTCCAAGTTACGCGCGCAATCGCGCTTGCGCATTATCTTCCTCCTTGCCCATTACGTAATGGCTAAGATAGTGCCCGTGGAACGGCTGGCCGCGCATGCTAAAAGTAGCACCTTGTGCGGTCGTACGGGCTATAAATAATTCTATATTTCGGAAGGAGCGAGAGAAGTCGAAAGGAGCGGGAAATATTCGAAATACTTATGCGCTAATGGGCTACAAGGAAAGGTTCGTCACTCAATGCCAATTCTTCACAATATTAAAAAAAAATTTCCATACATATTTTCTTTATTTTCACAAACTCGTTTATGCACCTATCATCGGCCATCCCCTGGGGGGGGGGGGACCCCGGGCAAGGGTGGGGACTTTGTAAAGGACCCTGTCAAAGTTCTTATTTTCCCCCTCCTAGGTGGGGACACAGAGGAATCAAAGTTCCCCTCCCTGAGGGGAATCACCTTGAGCAGCTTGAAACCTGACAAGAAAACAGTACTTTATACCCTTAACGAAATGTCATGTTTTAATAGTGCTTACATGTTCGTAACAATGCAAATTTCAATGTACTGCTAAATACAATTACACAAAAAAATGTTAACCAAAATACAGTGTAATACACGATGTCTGTTCAGCTGACTTTTTGGACTTAAACCGAATATTTACAACAATGTTGATGAGCATTTCTGATCTACGTTCTTCTGCACAGCGGTCTTTATGTTTGTTCATTTAAGACAACTTGAAATTGACCTGTTTCGTTTGCAAAGTCCCCTGTTTTCCCCGCGGTGCAAGGCTTTTGGAAAACAAACCTCCCTCATTTCCCCCGCCTCCAGGGTAAGTTAATCGTTCAAATCCCCGTATAAGTCCCCATTCAACGTTGAATTTGCCCGGGGTCCCCCCCCCCAGGGGATGGCCGATGATAGATGCATTAGTACATCTAAATTGAAAGACTTCAAAAGATCCGTGGCTGTTTGTGAAATAGCTAGTCATTATGGAGTGTTTCTAGTTTTAACAATTCTAATATACATTTGAGGTAATTTTGGATTGTTAGGTCTTCCATTTCAGACGTTGCTCAAATACCCCTAAATCAATCAGAACCTCCGTCTAAAACGCCATCATCATTCAATAGCCAATCACTTCTCACGTTAGTTCACGTTAGTTCAAGTTTATATCGAAACGAAAGTGTTCCGTCGTTCGCTTTGAACTATGGCAATGACATTTCTTCATCTAGTTCAGTAAAGTACTCATCTTTGGGAAATAAGGACTTTTCTAAAATGAGTTTTCCTTTGAAATATATCTGTATGTGGGTTTTTCTTATACCCAAACCAACAGGTAATGTATTTATGTAGAATTTTGTTCTAATACTTTCGGTGTGACAGCAGCACATTGAGGTGCCTTCTAAACTTCATACGAATTTTTAATTCAGTCCTTGGAATGCTGTTCCTCGTGTGATTAAATAGTAAGCATGAATTGTGGTAATATTACTGCGATCTGAAATATTCTCCTTCAGATGGCCGAAGTGTGACATGGTTTGAACCTACTCCGAGTAAGACAACATCAGATCCAGACGAAGTGCTCCCCCCTGGCATTGTACAGGTTTATGTAGGATCTTCTGTCACACTGAACTGGAACTACAGTCTGTCGGCAGGTTTAGGTCTGGGTGGTGTCGTAAGATTCAAGGGAGATGCTATATTCAGCATTAGAGCAGATGGTTCAGCTACTCCTGTTAATGCTCAATTTCAGGAACGTTTCAGCGCAACCTCAACTCTTGGAAGAACTTCTCTGATTATCTCCGCTGTGAATGTTTCTGATGATAAGTTTTTTGGAGAATTTAGGTGTGAGTTGTTGGACTCCAACAGTAATCCTTGGAAACGAGCAATTCAAGTGCAAGTCTTAGGTAAGCTTGAAAGTGTTGCTGACTATAAGAAAGGCGTAATCCTAGCTGAAGTATACTGTTAACCAGTTCTTCCCTCTGGGCCTAGTTTAAATGCAGGTAGATTACTTGAAAGATTTCAATTCTTAGCAGGAAAAAACATCTTAATCACTTTTAACAAATTTATTTAGTTTATTGGATTGATGGTGTTTTAAGTGACCAACCAAACGGTGGACGTGAGACAATGTTTTTTGTTAATGGTATATATCTAACTTTTAAGTACAATGATGCGGTCACATGTATATGTCTTCCATACCCTTTGAGGTCCCATGTGAATCAAACACCCAAAATGCACAAAATAATAGGCTCTAAATTGGGATTGCACCTTGAGATAATTTTTAAGTAAAAAAAATAATTACTGCATCAGAGGATAAAGATAACACTAACTTCCTTCACATTCTGTTCAACTCAGTAATCATATGAAGTTCTGATGAGGGTGTTGTATGTATTTTGGGACCACAAAGTGGCAATGAACTTGACCATTTCATCATATTTTCTTACTTCTAACATAGGTCTGTCTGTCAGTACTTATTGGCTACAATTATGAGTGATTTGATTTGATAAACCTCACAAGGATAAAATTGTGAAAAAATAGTCAGCCTAAAGAGGAATCAAGGCATTAAAAAATTTTTAAAGGGTTCAAGGTAAATTCAAATCCAAAGAGGTGTTGATTATTATATGCTGGGAAACTTGCATGTGTAATTGAGGACAAAAGTCCTTTTACACTCAGTATGTTTAAAGTTTATCAGAAAGATCTTAATTTACCCACTTAGCAAGCACAGAGTGTAATTACCTTTGGAAAGCTAGTTACTAACTCAAGAGGATGTCTCCTCAAGCAAATAAATCAGGTATAAAATCCTACAGCTGTAATAAAATTTCAACAATTTCAAACAGGAGGGGTATATTTTCAAATCTGTGTAGGCAATTTTGAATATTACTGTCATTTGCTTTCTGGTTTTCTATCAAGTTTGCTCATCAAATTTTACAGATATGTGTTACATCTGAGGCCATTGTGGTTGATAAATTATGAAAATCAGAAATCCCTCACATGGTTTTTTGTTTAGTACTGTGAGAGTCTTCAGGTCTAATTTCAAGGCTGTTAAGTTTTCCATATACACCAATGATATGTTTAAAGAAGACACACTTGCATAAAAACTTCAATGTGTAATGAGTGGCAAAAGTCTTACCATGCTTTACTAATTTTTTATTTTTTCATGTAACTCTCCCTATTTGAATGTTGCCTGGTGTTACAAAATGGTGACCAATTTCAGGCAATAGGTTTTTTTGGGGAAGGTATGACTTGCAAGTAACGTAATAGAGATGAATCACAAGATTTCTGTTTATTATGTTGATTGGAGGGTTGTCATCCACCTACTTTTGGCATTTATTGTACTGTGTACATATTTTTTTTTGCTCCAGAGATTTTCACAGATACAATATTACACTTTTGGGTGACCATAGTGATGTCAAAGTATTGTTAAGTATGCCAATAGATACACAAATTAAAGTATCCTAGGGAGTCCTAGGAGACTCTCCACTAGATAGTTTCTTATACTAAACCATAATTTGCAGGAACCTACCAAGCAGTTTCACATGACAAACCATGGTTCAATTCCATTAGACAGCAATTTTGATTTCAAGTTTATAGTGGTTTGAACTGGCTGCAGCATCACCTCTTGATGGTTGCTGGTTACAATCAGGGAGGATTGTGTAAACCACGAGCCTTCCTCCATTTCAGCAATATTTTTTTGCTATTCCTCATGGGATTTCTTTAATTTCTTGCTCTTACACCCAACCCCTTGGCTCACAGTCAAGGACTATTCTCCATTTGATCTCTACCCATTCACAGCCTACTTTTATATGCTGAGGTATAGCAAAGATCACTACATGTTACTGAAACTAACCAGGAGATGTTTCCAGGATTGAAATCAAGGACCATTATGTTTTGCTGCCAAAACATTGTGGGAGTCAGTTACAGTGACACACTATAATTGGCTATTCAAGCATTGGTGGGCTAAAAAAATTATTTTAAAAAAAAGATGTTTTTGTAAATAGCTCCTGTGAGTCTGAGTCTCAAAATTAATTTTTACAGAATTACTTGTTGGAAACTGCAGTTAAAATAATAATGCTTAGTTTAAGCTGAGAAAATAATTCAGAAAAATTTAGTTGCCTTTTAGTGGTCCATGAAATTTTTAAAGGCAGATATATTAAAGCACTTATAATGGATTATAATTCAGGGACTCAGTTCTTGTATAACACATTTGAATTTCGTTTGCATGTGCAAGGTTTGCAAAGAACATTTAAAAATCATGTCAGCAGTATATCAGTTTTCCACATTGCTCATATGTCTACATGCCATTCAGTTATCCTTGAAGTTTACTAGTGATTGTTTGATTTTTCTTAGTTCCAATAAATATCAGTGGAATAAGAGGTGAACCAACTGTTCTTGAAGGTGAAAATTTGCAGTTAATCTGCAAAGCATCGAGTCAAGTAGGACCAAACATCACCTGGACCAAAGAGAAGCCTGGGAACCAAGGAAATACTCATGTGGTGCAAGAAGGAAAGGTGCTGACTATAACAAACATCAACAGGATTGATGCTGGAAATTATACCTGTACAGCATACAATGGCTTTGGTAAACCAGAGAGCCGAACCACAAATGTAAATGTTATTTGTGAGTATGCATTGAAAACAACTTTGACTAATGTTAAACAGAGATGTGCTTTCCATTTATCTTTTGTGTTTTAATGTACTTTGCTGTCAATTACTTGTATTAATCAAAACTATAGCAAAATTCTTGAACATGATTGGATATCACTAGCCCGACTCAAGCACAAATAGGACAGTGTGCACTTCATGCTTGTAATTGGATAGTGTAATAGGATAGTTAAGGGACAGATAACACGTCATGCCTGCATAATTGGACAATGGGTCATGAGTGCAGGCTGTTGTTTCACATTTTGTCTGTCTCATTTCTTTCTCAAATTTTGTCATAGTTTTGATTAATTGGTAACAGGGCTTAAATGTGTCCTCCAATTCTGTCTGTAATCATACTTGTGATGACCAGATTTGTTAATCACCAGTATGATTACAGACTGAATTGGACTCCACCCAGTCCTATTACCATTATTAATGTTTAGCTAAGTACATCCATGAAGGGCTCCAGGCTCAATTTTTCATAAAATTGTATTTTTATTAAATGCACCCCCCAATAACAACACTTTCCTTTGCCAACTTAATTGGTAACTTAAATACCTTCTTTACCTCTGTGTGGATTAAAAATGATTACAGCTTGGAGCACTGCTGTGTTCCGGCAGGTGTTCGCCCACCTCTGTCAATGTTAATTTACTCCTCTTAAGATTAAGATTAGATGTTGTGTTAGGAGACTCTAGTGCTCCACAGTCTCATTAATTCTAATTAGAAAATGTTAAACAATGTGGTTCAACATATCTGGCAAGATCTCAGCTCAAAGATTTGAAATACCACCTCCATGGTTTTCTGAGTGTCAACATTAAAAAGTTTTGTCTAATGATCGGAACCCATGAAACTTTTGGTACTAGTAATTTATTTAACAGACATTTATGAATGGCAAGAGGATCACCCAGGTAACATCTAGACAATAGCAATTTCATTGAAACCACAATACACAAAGTAGGAGAACATTTTGCAAACCCATGTTATTGAGTTCAGCCAAAATACAACAAACTAGATAAAGAATACCCTCTTGTATGTAAGTGTGCTGGTGTCTTTAGACCCCTTAGCTATTGAAGACAAGTCACTCAGATATATCTTTGTGTAGATGTAGATGCTGTTTATTAATCTGATTTTTTATTTTCCAATTTGATGTACAGATCCAGTCAAGGTTGTTAAATTTCAAACTGAGTATATTGTTGATGTACAACAAAGTTTAACTCTCAACTGTCGAGCAGAAGGAAACCCTCCACCTACTTACACTTGGATTCCATGTAATGACCCAGAACAACTTTGTAACAACAATAGTCTTGATATTTCACAAGTGCTTAACGATGCCAGCTATACCTGCAGAGTGGACAATTTACATGGACATGATACAAAAACTGCCATTGTTTGTAAGTTGCATTGTAGTTCTGCTTATACAGCTGTAGCTTCATACTAATACCAACATGACATTTTAATTGGGTTCTAAAAGTTGAACCAGGGACTTATCTAAAGGAATACCTGTATCAATAGGCATTTTGAGAAAATCTATTAGCATTGTGCAAGATTTTTCAGCATTTGGTAATTGTGAATTATTGGCATTCTTGGTTCTTATGACATAATGGGATTGTATATGAGTAGAAAAAGATAGATTTTAGAGCCATTATCCCACTTCACAGACATTGCAGGAAATGTGATTAATGTAACCATTGCCATCACAAGTGAAAACTGCACAGATGAAAAATACAACAAATCATCATTACTGAGGAAATTGGAAGAAGAGGTAACTATAATTAATAAAATATTGCCTATGCTCAGTGTATTATTTAATATCTATTTATTCATTAAATACCCCGGTAACTGAATATATGAAAGTCATGTATGTGAACTGCAGATAAAGATATGAACATAAAAGCAATCTTTGCGGTAATGAACACTACTGGAACAGTAGTGAAAATAAGGCCTGAAATAAATTCAGGCCTGTAGGGGATTTGAACCCATGACCTCTGGAATACTGGTGCAGATTATTCATCACTTCACGGGTTTATTTGGAACCAACATAATGACCAGCTCCCAGTTGGCTTGTCAGCTCAGTTGGTAAACCATTAATTGCCCTGGAATCGTAGAGGTTATGGGTTCAAATCCTGTACAAGCCTAAATTGTTTTCAGGCCTTATTTTCACTACTGCTCAAGAAGCATTCATTACTGTGAAGATTCCTTTCATATTCATGTATTTATTTATTATTAGTTTGTTCAGGGTCAGAGACTGATGTGCTCACTGTATATTGATTGAAAGGAAATTTAGCTTCTGGAGAATGTGTGAATAATTTTTTAAATTCCACAGTGTTTCTTATGTCTCTAGATTGCATTCAGTGTCTTAGAGTTCTTTCAAACCTTAATTAAAAGGCTTTTCACAATCTTATTATTTAGTGTTTGTTCATGCTTTGTATTTAGGGCAATAATTGGCTGGGTGCTTTTTTGCAACAAATAAAATATGAAGCATGTGACTGGAAGAAGAACTTTTTAATTGAAGTAGCACTTTTAAAGAAACAGACTGACTAGTATTCTTGGCTGATTCTTAGAAAAACGGTCATATTCAATTAAATCATAGTTAGTAAATAATCTTCAATGTCATCCTCATTTTTACTTATGTACATGCACAATACAAGTGTGATACATGTACACTAAAATTTTTAGACAAATAGTTGAAATTTTTACTTACAGCTTAAAAGAGCATTTGCTGGTAAACTTGATTACAAAAGAGTGCAGTCAATGAGTGTTAGGTATGTAAATTAGTTGCTCATGTTCCCAAATTTTATTTATTTATTGTTTTTTACTTTTTTTGTTGTCCGTTTTATACTTCATGTCCCCCTAACCGTCACTTGTTTTCTGTTCCAAGGTGTGGAAGTATAATTGTTGACCTTGGACTGAAATTCAACTCCACTACAAAGGAACGAGATGTTCTCATAACACTTAATGACGCTGTTAAAGATGGAAAGCTGGGAGAGTTTAGTGTGGGTTCTATAAAAGGGACAAGGCCTAATGTGAAACCAACAAGTGGAGGTGCTACATCACCACCTGATGGGTCCTCGGGGGGTAAGTCCTCCTAACACTCAATGTAAACGTTTTGCAAGTTGATTAATGAATGGCCTTGCCCTGTACTTGGTTGGAAGGAATTGATACTGTAGCAGGTTTTACAGAGATCTGAAAACTTGGTGTATAATGATAAGATAACAATGCCAACAATAACTACAATGACAATAACAGTTGTAACCAAAACTAGAAACTACTAATTCTAGTATATGCGCCATGCTCGTAATTGGACAGTGTACTAAGAGAGTGAATAAATTGCGTCGTGCCTGTGTAATTGGACAGTAATGCTTCATTTAATTGTGCGCATGCTTTTGTTTTGCATTTCGCTGAGTTAGTTATTGATTTTTTTAATGAAAACATGTAACCAATGTTTAATTTACATTGAGTGGTTCTCATAATCCTTAAAAAAATAGCAGCCATGCAAGTTTTCCTCAAATTAATCGAGCGTATTTTTTTGTGAAATCCTTAGGGCTGCCATGTGGGACGAGAGAAGGTAAATTACTATTCAAAGACAAATGACTCTGTAAACATAAAGTAACAAGTCATTTAATCCGGTTAAGTACTCTCCAGACACCTATGCCATTAAGTTTTCTGAAAATATACAAAATGATTTACTGTCTAACTGAATCGAGCTTTAATTTGTAAGTAGAAGGACACAATTTTGCTTGTGTTGTATTCCTCAATACTGTTGCATCTTTCTGGTTCAGGGAACAATTAAACAACTTTAATGTTATTGTGTTTTATATATATTTTTAATAGACACTTAAAGATTTAGTGCTTTTCCTTTTTATTTCTGTTTCATTTTGTCTATGCCACCAACCCTTGCCGCGAAAAAGTTAAGATTTGATTATGAACGATTTTATGTGTAAGTTTGTGGATCGAGGAGCAGGTGGATCTGTTATTTTAGCCGAATATTAAGCTTAAAAGGGTTGGATAATTTTTGATATGAATTTTCCTTCTGCTTTTTTTTTAAGCTCTTGCATAAACAGAATTTGTGCCCCCCACTTTTTCTGAACATGCGCGGTATGGTCTGTTCAGTTCCATATCTTTAATGAACATTGAGAAGAAGATAAATTAAGTTCTTACTGAATTCCAAAGGTTTCCTAACCAAAACAGGAGTACGGAGGCAGATCCGTTATGTTAAAATCATTTAATGTCTTAAGATCTAGATGAAGTGAAAAGTGTATCTGCTATTTACAAGCTAAATTAAAGTTGTTACGCTGTTGCATGGAATGGTTAATTATCGCCTGTGAGGTTTATATTTTCGTTTGCAACTAAATGTCCACCGCAGCCTTTAATTACAATCTCAGTGAAAAAAGGGTTCCTTTGTGAAAAATGAAACTTAATACAATTGAAGTTCGACCAAATTGTTTGGCTTGAGAAGATACGCTTTCACGTACAAAAATTTATCTCAAGTTGATCACGCTTTGTAGGTACCATAGGTATTACTGTTGGTGCTGTAATTGGATCAGTTGCTGCACTGGCTGTTGCTGGAATATTAGTTTGGTGGACTTGTAGGAAAAAGAGGCGTAACACAAAAGGCACTGAAGGTAAGTGTTGCATACATGTCATGCTCTCAAATGAACAATAGTTTTAGAATCCCAGTAATATTTTTCCTTTTTCTAAGACTAGGTACTAGCTTCAGTTCACTTTCCTCTGCATGATGATCTTTATTCAAGCATCTTTATTTTTAGCAGATAACTTTTGAATAGTGTATTGTTAACTAATAATTAATGTTTTGTTATATAATTTGCTGATAGCTAATAAAAGTCAAAAGATCGCGCTTGAAATTGTTTACTTTATGACTCAACTTGATGGGCATCAAACAGACTTTTCTTTGCTTGTGCGAGATAATTTTGTTTGAGGTCAATTGTTCATCCATTATTTGTTTTGTTTTCCTTTGCTTTTTATGATTCTTTGTCTCGTTTTTCCACCACAGAGGTTGCGATGAGCAGAAGGTGAGATTTTTGTATCGAAATGGTGCTGTTTACTTGCGTTGTTCCTTATGGCCCAATCTGTGTAACAATTTATCACCCATACTGTTATTCACCTGAATATCCAATAATGATAGATCATGTAAGACACTCGCTAGCCAAAAGGCACTCTTGCGCGGGAGAGATATCATTACAGCAGTTGTAATAATTTTCACTTGCACAATAATCAACATCTTATTGATCCGTTAACACAAAAAGAAACAAGAACATCAACTACAAGTGTACTTATTTTTTTCATATAATGAAAGATCGCTGCGTGTTACTTCAGGCCCAAGTAATAGTTTTCCAGGTGTCCCCTATTAGTAGAGCGATTTTCCCTTGGCGATCTCACTTTATGACAGGTGAATATAGGGTCATTATTATCATTATCAGTATTATTATTATCATCATCATTACTATTACTATTATTATTATTATTATTATTATTATTATTATTATTACTACTATTGCTATTGTTCCAAACATATTATTTTCAATAGACGGGTCTATGTCTATATGGCTGACAAATCTGTAAAGCCTTCAAAAAGAAATTTTAATAAGGTGTCTACAGAAAAAGTCTGTTTTTCCTCGGTCACAGAGACCGGCCACTTTGTGCACATGATCCTTTTCTTCTCTGCTAGTTACTCGGGGGAATGAAACTTTCAGTACTTGAACATTGCTTTCAATGAAATTTGAAGTAGGTGGCTACCTCTGTAAAGCACCCGCCGGAGAATATAATTGTAAACAGTTTCCCTCTCGTTAGCCTATTAGTTCCCGGCATTCAGAATAAACTGGCTTCAAATGGAGTTTTTTGTGTTAAACTTCGGTAAATAATCATGAAATATTTGAATTTTCTTTGTAACAATTTTTGCAACTCATCGTTTTATTTCTGATCAAAATCTTCCATTCGCTGACATGCAAACCTGCTCCCTTAGTTTCACACAAAAGTCCTCTGAAAGGAAGGTTACTGTTTACTGAAATTTGAATCAGAATGTTCTTGGAAATTCTAAATTTTTTTTCCTAGAAATTTCGTGTAAGAACGAAATAAACCAGTACCCATGAGAACATAGTCTTCCTCGCTTTTTACCGCAAATGCAGCTTTTTTGTAACTGAAAGTTAGACGCTAAGTGTTCAATAGCTGTTTTTGTTCCTTTCTTTGTAATTAAGCCTCGGGTAAGCGTTTTTTATGCAAACTTCTAAAAAATGGACAAGTACGCTATTTTGTCGATTCTGACTCTCGAGTTTGTTTTCTAACCAGCAGTTGAGAAGAATTGTCTAAAAATATGTGATGATTTTAATTCACCACAAGGTTGGTTGAGAATTATTTAAGTAAACGACAATGTGCACTTAGCGCTTGATGAATTTATGTTAAATATGCGAAACAAGCAGAAAAAGAAAATTCCCAGTCAAAGAATGAATCTAAAAATCAAAGACCACAGAATTTGAAAAATAAGCAAGGTGAATAATCCAATACTAAAATTAATACTGTTTTCTTTGTTACTTATTAATTTTTTTTCTTAAAATTGGACTTGGGCGTGGAAAGTAACCGGCGATTCACAACAATTCTTATCAAGAGTAATGCGTGAATGTAGAGAATGCGAAATCCTCTCTGGAAATTCAGGGCAAGTCTACTCTAAAGGTCTGACGATAGCCGAGCCTGCATCTGTTTTCCAGCTGCGATTCCAACTGGAATTAGCTTTCTGGAAAGTTTTTCTGTTATTTTGGAATTTTCAGGCTGAGGGGATTGATATTGTTGCGTTCGACGAAGCAGAACGCATGCTTTTCGTGTCATTTTTCTGGAAATCACTCTCAAGGGTTTTATGGACCAGTCACAAGGGGATCAGTCGTGATGCTATGCGATTTCAGGAATTGGGCGCCATTTTGGACTATTGCCATTTGGCACAAATAGCCTCGATCTCATGTGCAAGTGTTTCCCTGGCCGCCTTGAACTGAGGACACCCCTTTTTTTTTCTGCGCAATCAGTACAATAAAAAAACTTTTATTACGGATCGAACGCACTTTACTAATCTTTGGTTATTACTAGTTTTATAATATATTTGTGTTGTCGTTTCAGAACATTTGGAAATTCAGATGATGAAAGAAGAGAAAGTACAAATGTAGGTCAAACGATGAAATCTTTTACCTTGTCTAGATATATCTTCCTGTGGTCTAAGCCGCTTTTTTTCTTAAGTTGCTGCTTTTACTGAGTCTCTTCATTGGAGTTGAGAGTTTACCCAAACCCAGAAAGTTAAGATCCACAAGGAATATAGGTGGATTATTCCTTGATACATTAAAATACGTCATTCAAGTAAATACGGGAGTATTTTATGAAATTGAAAACAATTTTTTTCTAAGATTGTGGTCGAATTGCCTAAACCTTTTCAAAGCCATTACATGGCACTGGATGGCAGAGCTCGTTCACAAGTGATGGCAGATGCTGGTCCACTCAGCAATGAACAAATCAGCGAGTACACTTCCCTTGATCCATTCACACGCACCTGTGAGATTCCTAGAGAACATGTGACGATAAAGCAGATCGTTGGAAAAGGTGCTTTTAGTCTGGTTGCCAAGGCAACAGCCGATAACCTTCAAGGAAGAACCAAGAAGACGCTCGTAGCTGTTAAAATGTTGTCAGGTACCAAGTAATACTGAAATCATGTTGTATTTCATGGTGTTTGATCAGACCTGGAGATCTGTCCAGATTTTTCTGTTTTCTGTCCTTTTTTTTTCTGTTTTTAGTTGTTTAAGATTTTATGTAAATGATCCCCCTCAAATGATGGTTACATTTCCGAAACACAGCGCTCTACGTTGATGAAGAAAAATTTAATAATGGATCATAAATGAGTTCAGACTATATCTTTGTGTGCAAGTTTTTAAGTGTGTAGAAAACGATTTTGAATCGAAGTGAGAGAATTTGCTATCTGAACTTGAATTGATGAAAATTATTTGTTTTTGAGTTTAGAAAAGCACCTGAAATATGATGTACGGTAGAAATGGATGGTATCTATCTTCCTATCTATCTACCTATCTGTATAATTACCTTTCTATCTACCTATCTATCTATCTATCTACCTACCTACCTATCTATCTATCTATCTACCTATCTATCTATCTATCTATCTATCTATCTATCTACCTATCTATCTATCTATCTAACTATCTATCTATCTATCTATCTATCTATCTATCTATCTATCTATCTATCTATCTATCTATCTACCTACCTACCTACCTATCTATCTATCTACCTATCTACCTCCTATCTACCTATCTATCTATCTACCTATCTATCTATCTATCTACCTACCTATCTATCTATCTACCTATCTATCTATCTATCTATCTATCTATCTATCTATCTACCTATCTATCTATCTATCTATCTATCTATCTACCTACCTATCTATCTATCTACCTATCTATCTACCTACCTACCCATCTATCTGTGTAGCTATCAATCAATCAATCAATGTATCTCTTTATCTGTCTATGTATCTATCGATCTAACTATTTATTTGTTTATCTAAATATTTCTCAATATATCTATATCTACCTATCTATCTATCTACCTACCTACTTACCTATTTATCAATCTATTTATCTATCTGTGTAGCTATCTATCTATCTATCAATCGATCAATCAATCAGTGTACTTCTTTATCTATCTCCCTATCTGTGTATCAATCTATCAATCTATCTAACTATTCATCAACTCATTTATTTATCTACATATCTTTATATCTGTATACCTGTCTATGTATCTATATATCAGTCGGTTTGTTGGAGTGTCTGTCTCTATCTAGCTATCTCTCTCTCTCTTTTCATCTATTTATCCATCTATCTATCTATCTATCCATCTATCAATCTATCTATCAATCTATCAATTTATCTATCTATCTATCTATTCACCCATCTATCTATCTACCTATCTACCTATCAATCGTTCTATTTATCTATCAGTGTACTTTTACCCATATAAATGGCATAGTTGAATGATATGTTTGTGATTTTATGTGAAATGTTATTTGAAGATTATTGATCGAAAATTATGTTGCAGAAAACGCTTCTGAATCAGAGAAAAAGAATTTGCTATCTGAACTTGAATTGATGAAACAACTTAAACCTCATCCTTACGTGATCAAACTCCTGGGATGCGTTACCAAATCTGGTAAGTACTGAAATGTTTATTATCAGCTTGGGACCTAAAGAGACCCTACTTTTCTCACACCCAGAGTTCCGCACATTGCTCGAAGTGTAAGTTACACTAGGTTAACTTTTGGAAAATCCTTGACCGACGCTTAACCGACGCTTAAAGCTTGGCCTTATTCTATTCTTGCATGCACTTGTCAGGTCTGGATAGGGCTTCTCAGACAGCAGAGAAATAGTCACATTTTTATACAGTCCGCTAAATAGCAGCGTGTGTCTACTCAATAGCTGAGATGTAAGATCAGCAAAATTTAATGATGGGTCATAAATGAGTTCAGACTATACCTTTACGCGCAAGGTTTGCGCGAATATTGCGCATATGAGCCGCTCCGATATAAATATAGAGAGCGGGAACCTTTCCAGTAGTAGACCACGAAGGTGAAAGATGACCTGCCATCAAGAAATTTAAAGTTTAATGCGTAGCATCGACATCTTACCCCTTTATAATTCATTTTCCGATTTTAGAAACTTGTGGCCACCTTGCTTTTAAAATAAATTTCAAGGATTTTAAATATTAACGTATTTACGGTAGTCAATACCTTATTTTCTTATCTTCGTGAAATGGACGTCGTACTCTTCCAAGTGGCGGCGGCGATTATTGGAGGGCGACATTTATTCGTAGTTCTGCTTCCATGTGTGGCGTTTAATCAGTATTGGCGTTACCTTGTTTGTCTTTCTAGAGCCACTGTTGGTGTTGATCGAATACGTTCCCTTTGGGGATCTGCTGGGTTACCTGAGAAAGAGCCGTGGATTAAGTGACACTTACTACAAAGACCCGGATATCAAACCACAAACAAATCTTACTTCTCAGCAGCTGATAAAGTTTGCTTGGCAAATCGCCGATGGAATGTCTTATTTGTCATCGATACCAGTGAGTGATGTAACTATTCTTTGAGTGATGTCGTTAGAAAATAAGGCTCACACTCATTATACCTCACTTATTATTGACTCTTGGACTCCGCATTCCCAAGGATGCCATGTCATCCCATGTCAGTTGTCTCTTAGTTCGTTAAAGGGTGTTTTCCAAAAGAAACATCTTCGCTTTGTTGAAGGTTATCCATCGAGATCTTTCAGCTCGTGAAATGTGCAAAGTGACGGACTTTGGAATGGCCAGAGATGTGCAAGAGGACAACATTTACGAAAGAAAAACCAGGGTCAGTATGAATTATTTTAAAAAAACACAATGTTCTTGCAAGCCTTGGATTATGTGGCTGAATATGCCTCACTGGAGTGATTGCTTAAAGAAAACAAGCTCAGTAAATCCTGGTTAGTTTAAAGAACCTTCGTGACACTGTTCTCGCCATTTGGAGCATTGGCACTCTTAAGGACTACGCCAACTCCTTGCATTTTTGCTTCTTATTTAGGGGCGTCTCCCTGTAAAATGGACTGCCATCGAGGCGTTGCTTTACGGAAAGTACTCTACCAAGAGTGATGTGTGAGTACAATGAAGACATGGGCACTGCATATAGGCTTAATGAGATTGTTTTGTATGAATTGTTTTCGAGTCTGGGAAAAGTTATTGGGTCATTACTGTATTCTGGTCTTTGTATTTTCTTGATGTGAGGTCATCTCAGGAGGGAGTGGTTATGCTCATTTTCCTTCAACTCATCCCGTTTGTTTTACAGGTGGAGCTACGGAATTCTTCTCTATGAGATTTTCACAATTGGTAAGTTATTCCGGCTAGTCTGGAGTTTTCAGTTTTGGCCCTGTGTTTCATAACTACCAAGCTGGTTCAGATTGCCACAGTCCCTGGACTTGACCGGAAGAATTAATGACCAATGATACAAAAATGAATCGTAATTTGAAAATATTTTTACATATGTAAAGATTTTCATTTTAGAATATGTTAACATTACCTACTCCAATTCAGGTGGTTCACCGTATTCACGAATGGATGGAAGAAAAATTGCAAACTTACTTCAAGAGGGATACAGAATGCCTAAACCACAACATGTGGATGATAAGTTGTATGTTAATATGATGTTGCTATTGTTGGTTTTTTGGTTTTTCTTGTTGTTTGTCCTGCTTTTGTTCGGGTTGCATGTGCACCTCCAGATTTAACATTTTTACTTGTTGAACCAGCCTAACGAAGGGAAATGAAAGGAGTACATTATCACGAGTTTATAACTGTGTTATATACCTTTTCTACTTTGTTATAAAAGAGAGGAAATTTGCGACCAAAAAAGCTTGTTCATCGAGAATAGGTTGGACCGTTTCTAAGCCACCAATGACATACCGAGATATTCATAACATCCTTGTGTTTCAGGTATGAAATAATGACGAAATGTTGGAGAGACGAACCTAACTTGAGACCATCTTTTGAGAAGTTGAGAAACAAACTCAGAGAGATGGAAAACCAGCACAAGGTAGAACTGAAGAGTTTGCAAAGAGACTCACTCTCTTTTTTTTTTTTTTTTGAAAATTTGAACGTTTGAATCTATCGCCGTCAAATTTACTCGATAATAGTGTTACCAAAAAGGTTTCGAAGCGTAGTTCGTGGTTTCAATTTATTTCGCTTGTAGAGTAGTATTCAGTTGAGTACCAAAAATAGTCCTAGATTGCTTTGATTCCTTGCCAGAAAACTTGCGCCACCATCTCAACTAATCAAATGCAAAACTACAACCAATCCCAACTTGGGCAGTTGCGTTTTCCCGCGCTTGAAACAGGTTGCCTGATTTTACTCTGAGTTCTCATTGGCTAATGACGATGTTAACCTTCGTTCTGCTTGGTGGTTGTGATTACTGGAGGATTCTGTGTAGGGTTAATAGGTTTAAAAATAAAGGCACCATCAAAAGTTAAGCAAAGTATAATTTATATGTATGATTAAAGTGGCACTTTTCCCTAATGTTTTCCTCCTTTCTTTCTTTTCTGTTTTTATAGGGGTTGATAAACTTAAAAAATTATGACCATCGACTTTACGTGAATGTCGAAGATTTAGCCGCGTGAGCCAGCAAATTCTCATACAGGAAAGGATGGAGTAATGAATAATGCAGTCCTATGAGATCATCGTCTTTTTTCCTTATATATTTGAGATTAACCTTTAAAACCTCTAATAATTTGCTGATCAAGTAACTCTTCAAAACAAGCTGTTAACAGCGAAGCGAGGCAAAGTACAGCTTTTATACATTTTTTGTATATATAAATTTTTTTACTTTTGGTCAAGTATACCAGCAACAATCATGGATTGTTAAAATGTGTTCGACCAAGCTTTAAAGTGAGTATTTGTCTGGAGGTGACAAAACCCAGTGTATTATTAAACCTACGAACATCCAATGGACGTTTCGTCGTCTAAGATCTTAAGTGAGTTAATAGACGAAGAAAATACTTGTGAGATCAGGCACACAGTCTGTAAATAGGCAACGGTCCGTATGTCAAAATACCGACCAAGTAAGAACCAATTAGAATGATAATGCATGTTGCAGCCTCATGGGATCATCCTTTATTTTCTTTATATATTTGATGTTAACTTTCAATTCTTTGCTGATGAAGTAAGGCTACAAAAAGTTTGTTTATACTAAGCGAGGCAAAGTGACTGTTCCATAAATTTTTATATGTATATTTTTCAAATTCTTAGTCTTGAAGAGACAAGAGATTTTTTATAAAGAATTATAGAAGCTGCAACCCATATTTTTCCTATAGTCCAATATATTTTTAGAATTTTTTGAAGACAAAACATGTAATTTCTTTTAAAATGTGCATGCAAATCCACCCAATAAATATTCCCATTTGTACCTTACAATGCGTGATAATTGTTGCAGCCGTCGTACTGATATTAAATTTCAAAATACTCGTGAACTTGGTAAAACTCATCATCTGAAACCCACGTGCAGGTTCGTCGTTTCGAAGTAAGAAGCACTTATGGCTTCGATTCTCTCTTGAGTCTGCATAGCTCCTGTGAAGATAAATTCGTCAGCTACCAATCCCACGCCTAATTACATTAATTTAATTGCTTGTTTAGATTAATAGTCGCGGAACGTGTAGAAGAAAAATTGCTGTTTTGAAAGGGTTATTTTGATTTAGACGGTAAACACGCCACTCTTTACGTAGAGGTATTTAAGACAAGTGTAGGAAGGTCTAGTGAAGTTTCTGTCAGTTTGTCTGAAGTTCGTCTCCCGCAGATTTACGGGAAACTGGACATCAGTGACATATTTCTTCCCTCCTTCTCGCCATCTTTCACCACTCATCTTTTTCCTCGGTAAATTAGATGATCAAAGATTGTTCATTCAAACAAAGATTTTCAGAAACTGTCTGTTTTTACAAAACTTGATAAGGTGGGATGGAACTTTATGAGAAATTTTGACGCCCACAGCCTCCCCGAACATTTTAACCCTAAACTTTTCCGCCCGGCTTCGCCTAAATAACTAATTGCCTGCAGCAACAAAGGAACTTTTGTACACTTAATATGAAAAGTTGAGCCCCAAAAGTAGACCATTTGTTGCTACAGAGCAAACTGGTTCGTCGTCTCTGTTGTCCAGTGTAACTTGCCATTTAGCGGTTGAATCTTTCGGTTGTACAATACGTCCTTTGTTCGGTTGGGACGGATGTATATTGTATTTTGGCCCAAATATTTGGGAAACGAAACGAGTTAATGTAATCAATGTAATAAAGTGAAGTGATTTCCTCATTTTCTACTGATCTTTATTATTTAATAGTCCTTTCTAAGGGAATATTTCATATAGCAGCGTGTTCTCATTGGTCGATAGGAGTGTTTAGATGGGGGTAACACGGTTGTGAAAATACGCCGTCTGTGTTTATAATTATATCTGAGAAATATTTTAGAAAAGCTATAACGGACTTAAGCCTCATCAAAATACTCGTAGGGAATTGGGGTTGGAAGAATTCTCTAAAGTTATGCAAACCCTGGACATTTTCTAGAATTCTCCCAACAACTCCCTCCCTCCTGTTAACATGAGGCTATTTATATTAAACAAGGCTTCAAAACTCCGTAAGAATAACAGAAAGTATGACAACATCAACCCATATATCAAGGTATATGGGTTGTAAGATATCTGTAGCTCTACCCTAAGAACAACTACGAATAATTTTATATTTCAGGAGAAGTTGGGGAAATCGAAAGGAGCGGAAAATATTCGAAATATTTCTGTGCTAATAGGCTACAAGCAAGGGTTCGTCATGCCAATACCAATTCTTCGCAAAAGTAAAAATGTCCAGACATTTTTTCTATTTTCATAAACTCGTTTAATGTATTTAAACAGGTAGATAGTTTCCTAGAAAACCATAATTTGCAGGAAACTATCTAGCAGTTTTACCTGACAGACCATGGTTCAATTCCTTTAGAGAGCAATTTGATTTCAAATATATAGTGGCTTGAACTGGCTGCAGGAGCACCTCTTGATGGTTGCTAGTTGCAAAAAATGCGGGAAGATTGCTCAAACCACAAGCCCTTCTCGATTCAGCTAGATTTTGTTGCCATTCCTCTTGGGATTTCTTTAATTTCTTTCTGTTACACCCAAGCTCCTCGTTGGCTCACAGTCGAGGACTATTTTCCATTTTATCTCCACTCATTCACACTTTACTTTTATATGTAGAGTTATGGCAAAGATCACTATATGCCGCAATTGAAAATAAGCGATGTTATAAGGATTGAAATCAAAAACCATGATGTTTTGCTGCCAGAAACATTGTGGGAGTCATTTATGGTGACACGTTATTATTGGCTAATCACACTTTGGTGGACTAAAGTCCCAAAAGAAATTATTTGTTCAGTAATTTTTTTAATGGCTCCCGTGAGTCTTAATATGAATTTCTAAAAAATATTTCACGGAAACTGCGGTTAAAATAATAATGCTTAGTTTAATCTGAGAAGAGAATTCAGGAAAATTTAGTGGCCTTTTGATGGCCCACCGAATTTCTTAAGGCAGACATTTTTGAATATTAAAGCACTTATAATGGATTATGATCCAGGACTATTCTTGAAAAATTTACAAAATCATAGCACGTATGAATTTTATACGTTCTTTGCAAGGTTTGCAAAGAACGTATAAAAATCACGTTAACAGTATTATTACTTTTGCAGGTTGCTTTTTATAATATGTGTACATGCCATTCAATTCTCCTTGAACTTTATTTGTGACTTTTTAATTACTCTTAGTTCTAACAAATATCAGTGGACTTAGAGGTAAACCAACTGTTCTTGAAAGCAGCAACCTACAGTTAACGTGCGAAGCCTCAGGTCGACCAGAACCAAACAGCACTTGGACCAAAGAGAACCAAGGAAATACTAGTGTGGTGCAAGAAGGAAAGGTGCTGACTATAACAAACATCAACAGGCGTGATGCAGGAACATTTACCTGTACAGCATACTATGGCTTTGGTAAACCAGAGAACCGAACAGTTTCAGTGAATGTAACTTGAGAGTATGCGTTCATTCAAAAATACTTTGACCAATGTTAAATAGAGATGCACTTTCCATTCATCTTCTGTATTGTAATGTACTATGCTGTCAGTTACTCGTATTGATGTTTAACTTATCAGTTCTTATCCAAGAACCCATCGTAATTGATCTTCATCAATAATCTGAAGGAAGAAAAGTCTGTGGAAGAATGCTAACAACGGATATAACAGATGTAAGGTTTAGAAGGATCTGCAACGTGCAAAACGCACAGACTCAAACATAAAAACTCAAACGTAACAGAATCTTGGTTGGAAAATTTTTCGAGAACATACTGACGGAATTTTTACTGAAGGAGTCTCGCATCATTTCCTTCAATAGCCATGTCCGGTCCATATCATGAGATATAACTTTTCTTTTTTACAAATAGTTATTCCCTGGCTAACTTATAGGATTTTAAACAAATAATAAACATATTACAATTTATGAAGTAATTCGAACACCAAAATATATTACTGATTATACTACGGTATAGCGAGAAAACAACCGAGTGAAAGTAAAAAACAAATAAATAAATAAAATAAAAGGAAACTACATGCTCACTCATCTGGCAAGAAGAAAGATCTCAATTTTGGTGAATCTTTAATTTTAAGAGAATACGCGCGGGGACATTCCAAGGAATGTAGGAGAAGTCGACTCCTCGTGATCAAATTTCGTTAATATGCCAGTCCCTCAGCTTCTTTCGGTCGTAGTTACGTTGTCAAAGATGTAAAGATTTAAAGATCAATAATTTTATTCAACAAATGCAAACATATTTGGAGGTATGGAAAAATGAAGGAAAATAATTCTCAGATATAAGGGTTGCTTGGGATTGGATTAAATATAGTGTCCGTCTTTTTTTCGGTACAATACGCAAAAGAGTTAACTCAAATTAAGAGAGATAAAGAGAGAGGAGAGTCTGCAGAAGAAACTGCAAAGTGCACAAGCAAGATTTCAACTGAAGCCTTGTGAAGAATTTGAAAAGACTCTGAACAAGTGCAAACTTGAGTAGCAAAAGTTTTCGACGATAAAGCCGATGGATTAATGGTGCGTTCGAGGGGGAGATGGCTCAAATATGGGGAAAGAATACAAAGTATTTTTTAAGTAAGGAGAAAAGAAACCATACAAAGAAACATATTAGAAAACTTTGTCCAAGTGGAGTTATTACACAAATTATGAAAAAATACTAGACTCGTCTTCAAAATATTATAAAAACCTGTATAGTACGAAAGTTAATACGGTGCAGCCTGATATTTTGGGACACTTTCTTGGTCAAGCTAGAATTACAAAATAACCTAAGGAAGATAGACTAAGTTGTGAAGGACTTATAACTATTGAAGAATGTGTTAAAACACTGAATACTTTTGAAAAAGGAAAGACTCCTGATTTTTTTTCTCTCCTTGTTATTAAAGGTAATGATTCGTTTATTTTAACAAAGGAAACATACATCATTCGCTAGTCGCGTATATGAAAATGGGCAACACAGAAACAGAACTTATTTAAGGCAGGGAATATTGCCATTTAAAATAAGAAACCGACCTCACTTTAAAGATAATTAACATATAAAACATACCTTATTAGTCTGGGTATGAAACAACCCAACTGACTGGCTATGAATTGACCAGGCTGGTACCTTGTAAAAGGGATCTTCGGGTAGAAGTAGACTACGAGTACTTCGTCCTTTTCGGGCGATGTCAAAAAAAAAAAATAATAATAATCAGCGGAAACAAAATTTATGTAAGAATGTCACTGAGAGTTACGAAAAGTCGAAACCGTGCTTTTCGTATGTCTCACACCCAGAGGTCCGCGCGGCCACCTTAGTATAGGTTAAAGTAGCTGTCTTGAACTCAATACTAAAAAAGGTTGCTGTAATGATACCTTATTAACTCCATTCATTACCGCGGCGTTTATTACATATTTAATGTTTTCGAGAAGGCATTTGTTGAAGAGTATAGTCCATTGAACTTGCCCCACTCTATTACCCATTATTACCATTCCTGTTAACTTTTGAGAAAATCTGCTCACCGACATTTAAAGCTTGGGCATATTCTACGCTTGCGTGCACGTATGAGGTCTGGATAGAGTTTGTTTGTCAGCAAAGAAGTAGTCACACTTTTATTCTGTCTGCTAAATAGCGGCTTGTGTATAATCGATAAGTGAGATCTAAGATCAGAAAAATTTACTGGTGGACCAAAAATGGGCTGAGACTAAAACTGCGTGCATAAGGTTTGTGCACATGTTGCGGATATGAGCTACACAGATGTGAATATTCTACGAGGGCGGGAATCTTTCCGGTAGTAGACCATTAATATAAAACAGGAGAGGATGGAGTAATGAATATACGAGTTGAATATACTTTCAGCACGAGAAGATAAAGGTCGTATCATCAAGCGGCTATGCAATGTTCTGTTTATTTTATAGATACTGATAAAATTCCTACATATAGGACAACTTTTTGTGAATGAAATTTCAAAAGAATCGGCCGCGCGCCTGAATAGTTTGCTCTTGAAATATGTTCTACTGACTCCTTTTGTTCCACACAAATCGGGCATCTTAAATTCTCCGTCGTCTTTTTGTGCTTCCATAACTTAACATAGACATAGAAGCATAAACATTGTACGATTAAGGTATTGGTAAAATATATAAACAATACTCAATTGAATCCTTGATGTGAGTCATATCTTAGCCTTTTTAGCAGTGACAACACGTCAGAGGATTGAATGGATGAAACTCCACGGCATTAAGGCCAACGGCCTGTTAGTGCCATTATTTTTTCTGTTCTAAATGCGCATGCGTTAGTTGTGACCAAGCCCTTATAATTTCATGCTACCTGAAGGAGAATATTTTAGATCGCAGTTATATTGAAACAATTTACTTTTTCGATTTCGTCAAAAGAAGATCAGCTCTCCTCTAATTTTAAATAATCTAAAAGGCACAGCAATCTGCTGCTGTCGATATAAGAATCATCTAAACACAGTACAAACCGAGAACTGAACCGGAGGTCTTTAACGGGAAAGGGCTACAAGGTCAGTCTTTCTTCTCTTAACGGCCTCCGGCCAAAAGCAATTTCGCAAAATTTATTTACAGGGCCTGAAATTAATTTTTTTTTCTGATAGTCACTTGGCTGCTTAAATTCTTCAAAATGGTCGCCAATTTAAAAAAATTTGGTCCCCATTTTCAAAGACAAACAAAACCGTTTTTTACGCTGTCAGCGTTCTAGATAGACCCCCCAAAATTAAGTTAGGGAAAAGATCTTTAACGTGTTTCAAAGTGGACACTAGGATGGATGATATACAACGTTTAAGCTTACCTAAATTCAAGATAGCGTCTAGTTATCGATCGAGAGGCATGTGCAGCGTTTTGGAAACAAACTTAACGAGGAAATTTGCCGCGAATTTATCTTTGCAATCATTTAATTCACTCTATCTCTAGGTAAGATTACAATGAAACATTCTAATCGCCAATTTGGTGACCAATTTTCAGGATTTGGTCGCCAAAGTGAAAAATTTAGTCTCATTGGCGTCTGTATCAGGCGCAATTTCACGCCCTGATTTATATTCATAAGGGCCTGTTTGCATGTAGGTGGGGAACCTCAGGTAGGTTAGGTACCCCGCCTAACCGTGGTCGTTTACATTTATACTTAATGCGGAGCCTGAGAGATCGAAAGCACCAAGAAGCGGAAATATGTCAGTGTTGTGAGACTTCCTGATCTGATGTCATAATTTACTTTCTGTTTCGCTTGTGGATCAAGCCTTTCTGAAGCCGTTTTAGCAAAGTGCGGTTAAGCTTTCTGTATATTTTCTCGTTTCTCTTGTGAAGCGCGAATGACTAAAAATTTTGTGAGATTGCTGGTCTGCTTGTAATTGTTGTTAAATTCTTTAGTTGTCAACGTCTCGATCGAATGCTATGATCGCTTGAACTTTGCACGGATAATTTTTATTCTGTTTCATTGAAATGCAGGGACAACGTCTTATTGTGACTTTCATTGTCAAAAATTCCAAGTGAAACAAAGGAATCAGAATCTCAGTACTCTGTAAATATGTTGGGGGATGATTGAAATAGATAGAAACTGAGTGAGCCCTTTGATTTTTTAAATTGTTTTTCTTTATTTTTAAAGAATAGCTAGGCCATTATAAACCCATTGCAACCATTTGGAAAGTTTCATAAAAGTTAGGATTTTGTGATGAAATTGATCAGTAAATGGCGAAAACTTACTTCTCTTGATGAACACCATCTACACATGGTTGAACTGCTGGTTAAGAAAATATTACTGTTTTCCCTTCTGGACCACCTTAATCAATAAAGGAGTTTTTTTAAGACAACAGATTCATCCGATAAATTTCAAAATATAACAAAAGGGACAGCAGATGCAAAATAAAATACATGTTTTGCGTAAAAAACTTATATGTAAAAAAAAATCTATAACGCTGGAGGGGGTTGCAGGTTTTAAACTTGTTATTACAAAATCGTTTGTCTTTCCAAGACTAAAAGTATAAAAATATGTGAGAATATAAGAAAGCTGCACTTTGCCTCGCTTTCCTGTCAAACAGCTTGTTTTAAAAAGTTGCTTAATAGCAAAAAATATGGCTTAATGTAAAATATATAAGGAAAATAGAAGATGATGTCGTAGGGCTGTAATATTCATTACTCCGTCCTTTCCTGTATGAGAAATCACTCGCTCACACGGCAAGATCGTCAACATTAACGTAGAGTCGATCATCGTAATTTTTTAAGTTTATCAGCCACTGTAAAAAAAAAAAAAAAAAAAAAAAAAAAGGCATACGAAAAAAATATGAAAAATGAGTATAAATTATACTATACTCTATTAAGCTTTCGAGAGTTCCTTCATTTTTTTACCCAGAAAGAGAGCATCTTCCTGTTACAATTAATTTTAGATAGTGAAGTCTTAGATTAATCATCGAAAAACCAACTAACCCTAAGCCTAACCCTTGAAAAACCAAACCCAAAGTATTCACAACTATCAATCAGAACAAAGGTTAACATCAACATTAACCGATGAGAACTTAAAGTAGGATCTAGCATCCTCCTTGAAGCGCGGAAAAACGCGTGTGATCAAGCTGGGATTAGTTTTAGTTTTTACTTTCGATTTGCACTTTCGAAACTCAATTGAAAACTGCTCGAAAAGCTAAATAAATTGAAGTCATAAACTACGCTTGCAAGCATTCATGGTGCCGCCGTTATCAAGTTAAGTTGAGGGTGATAGATTCTAACAATCAAACTTTGAAAGGGAAAAAAAAAACACAGAGAGTCTGTTTGTAAACTCTACCATTCTACCTTGTGCTGGTTTTCCATTTCTTTGAGTTTGTTTCTCAACTTCTCAAAAGATGGTCTCAAGTTAGGGTCGTCTTTCCAACATTTTGTCATAAAGTCATATCTAAAAGGACGTCATAAGAAAGTTTTATTAGAAACGGTTCGACCCATCAAAAACCATTTTGGTCTTATAATTCTATCTTGTTATTATAGAGGACAAAAGATTTATACAGAAGAAATCAACTGATGATGGTGTACTTCTTCTTTCATTTCAATTCGTTAGGCTGGTTCAATAAGTAAAGATGGTTTTATCTTGAGGCGAACATGAAATTCGAACAAATTCGAAAAAAAAACGGTACAAATACTAATGTATAATAAAAGCCATCAAGAAAAAATAATAAGATATTATCATACAACTTATCATCCACATGTTGTGGTTTAGGCATTCTGTATCCCTCTTGAAGTAAGTTTGCAATTTTTCTTCCATCCATCCTTGGATACGGTGAACCACCTGAATAGAGCAGGTAATGAAAAGCTCTACAGATGTATTTCCATTAACAATTTTTTCCGGCTAAGGCCAGCGACTTGATATGACCAAAAGCCAATTCTACAGAGACTGGTACACAATGCTCACTTCATGAATTCGTGTCCCCCCAATTGCTGAGGCTAAAATAACTGGACTGGCAATCTGCCTAGTAACCTACCAATCGTGAAAATCTCATAGAGGAGAACTCCGTAGCTCCACCTGTAAAACAAACGGGATAAATTTAAGGCAATAAAATTTCTTTCCTGCAAAAATAAATTTAATCAAAACATCTTTGGTGTTAAGGGGAAGGGGGAATGGGTTGGGGAGGGAAACATGCACAGGGTCATAGGAGTTGATCCCTGGTCACCAACCATGAAAAATGAGGATAACCACTTCTCACTGAGATGAGCTCACACCAGCAAAATAAAAAGACCAAAATACAAAAGTAACCAAATAACTTTTTGCAGACCTGAAAAAATTTCATACAAAACCATTCTCATTGAGCTTAACTGCAGTGTTCATGTCTTCCTTGTACTCACACATCACTCTTAGTAGAATATTTTCCGTAAAGCAACGCCTCAATGGCAGTCCATTTTACAGGGAGACGCCCCTGAATAAGCAAAAATGCGAGGAGTTAGCGTAGTCCTTAAAAAGTACTAATGCTGGCGGCAACGCTGAAACAAAAGTTGCGGAAAACGGAACATGATTTACTGTGCTTTTTTCTTTAAGCAGTCACTCCAGTGAGGCATCTTAAGCCACACAATCCAAGACTTACGAGAACATTATATGATTTCTTAAAATCATTCATACCCTGGTTTTTCTTTCATAAATATTGTCCTCCTGCACATCTCTGGCCATTCCAAAGTCCGTCACTTTGCATGTTTCCTCCTCTCCAACCAACACATTACGAGCTGCAAGATCTCTATGAATAACCTTACACAAAGAGAAAACGTTTCTTTCGGAAAACACCATTTAACGAAACGAGAGACTTAGGGGTGACTCAGCTAACATGGGATGACATTCTGGGCAGTGAGTCCACGATTTAATGAAAAGTAAGGTATAGTGAGTGACAAATGAGGCCTTATTCTATGAGAACGTCATTCAAAGATTTATTACATCACTCACCGGTATCGATGACAAATAAGACATTCCATCAGCGATTTGCCAAGCAAATTTAATCAGCTGTTGTGAGGTCAGATTTGTTTGTGGTTTGATATCCGGGTCTTTGTAATAAGTATCATTCAATCCACGGCTCTTTCTCAGGTAACCCAGCAGATCCCCAAAAGGAACATATTCGATCAGCACAAACAGTGGCTCTAGGGAGACAAAGTTCCACAAATACTTGATTATTTACCGCAGATGGAAGCAAAATTAACAATAAACGTCACTCTCCAATAAACGGCACAGCCACTTGGAGGAGTACGACAATTATTCAACGTTTATAAGAAAATAAAATATCAGCTATCATATAACTCGGTAATATTCACAATTCTTGTAAGTCTATTTTAGAAGCAAAGTAGCCATAAGTTTCTAAACTTGGAAAATTAATTGGGAAGGGTAAAATGTCGAAAGCAGGTCATGTTTATCTTCAAGGTCTACTACCGGAAAGATTCCCGCCCTCATAGAGTATTCACAACTGACCGGCTCATATCCGCAACATGTGTGCAAACCTTAAGCAGGCAGTTTTGGTGTCGGCCCATTTTTGGTCCACCAGTAAATTTTGCTGATCGTAGATCTCACCTATTGATTATACATACGCTGCTATTTAGCGGACAGTATACAACTGTGACTACTTCTTTGCTGTCAAATAAACTCTATAGAGACCCCACACGTGCACGCAACAATAGAATATGCCTAAGCTTTAAGCGTCGGTTAGCCGATTTTCTCAGAAGTTAACAGAGATGGAAATAATGGGTACTGAATGATGGGGTGAGTTAAATGAACTATACCAACAAAGACCTCCTCAAAATCAATAAAAACGTACTAAACGCCGCGGTGCTCAATCTAGTAAATAAGGTACCCTACGAGTGACATCCTATGAATTGATTTCAAGACAGTTACTTTAACCTAAACAAAGAGGGCCACGCGGACCTCTGGGTGTGAGGCACACGAAAAGTAGGGTCTCTACTTTTCGTACCCATCACTTCCTGTGTAAATTTTGTTTCCACTAACTTTTTTTTACTTCGCCGAAAAAGGACGGAGTACTCGTAGTCTACTTTTACCCGAAGATACCAGTCGTTTGCTTGGTTCTTCGCCCTGTTTCTAATAAGCACCCTCCTGTTGCCTACCAAAATTAAATAAGCGCCCTGGGCGCCAAATCGAATATTACAGTATACTATATAAATTAAGAGGAAAGATATCTTAAGCTAAACACCAACATACCAAGAAAAACGAACTTATCTATTCCTTAAAATCTAAATTTTGTTGACGGTAACCATAGCTGATAATAAATTTTTCAGTATTTACCAGACTTGGTAACGCATCCCAAAAGTTTGATAACGTAAGGATGAGGTTTAAGTTGTTTCATCAATTCAAGTTCAGACAGCAAATCCTTTCTCTCTGATTCAGAAGCGTTTTCTGTAACAGGATTTCCGATCATTCATGGTCGAATAACATTTCAATAATACCATTATCTAGGTAAACGTATACAGATAGATAAATCGTTACATTACATATATAGAGATTGATAGATGGAAAGATAGATTGATAGTCAGTTTGATAGATAGAAAGATAAATAGATAAATAATTAGAGTGAAATAAAGAAAGATTAATAGATGGAAAGATAGAGAGATAGACAGATATATGTATAGATTGATGTATAGATTGCTAAACAGATAGATATACAGATAGACAGACAGACAGATAGATAAATAGACATACAGACAGATAGATAAATAGACATCATGCGACCCTGCTATACATCATATTCAAGGTACTTTTCTTTGTCAACGTAAAGCGCCTAGGCTCCAAAATGTAACCATCATTTAAGGGGGAATGTTTAAATTACATCTTAAAATTCCATCGCTACATCAAGTAGAACAAGCTTCACGCTATGGACATAACCGTGGACCAATCATATATCATGTGATTACTCTAAACAGAAGCTTGGAAATTATGCAGAAGCATATCATTACTATCAAAATAAACGGAACAATTTAGACAGACTTCTAAGTAAAACATGACTTTATTTCTTGGTACCTTTCAACATTTTGACTGCTACGAGCGTCTTCTCGGCTCTTCCTTGAAGATTAACGGCTGTTGCCTTGGCAACCTGACCGAAAGCACCTTTTCCAACGATCTGCTTTATCGTCACATGTTTTCTAGGAATCTCCCAGAAGCGTGTGTATAGATTAAGAGCAGCGTACTCGCTGATTTGTTCAGTGCAGAGTGGACTGGCATCTGCTATCCCTTGTGAACGAGTTCTGTCATCCAGTGCCATGTAATGGCTTTGAGAAGGTTTAAGCAATTCGACTTCAATCTCAAAGACAAAGTTGTTTTCAATCAACAAAAGATAATAACCAACTAACTTGCTCGAAAATTAAGAGATCCTCGCAGCTAAGAACACTACTGAAATGAGTAGTTGAAAATAGGACCTGAAAAAAGTTCAGGCCCGTACGGGATTTGAACCCATGACCTCTGCGATACCGGTGCAGCGCTCAACCAATTAAGCTAACAAGCCAACTGGGATCTGGTCAATGTGTTGGGTCCAAATAAACCATCCAAATGATGAATGATGATTTTAGGTATATAAAATTCATATATTTCAGGTCCTATTTTCAACTACTCGTTTCAGTAGTGTTCTTAGCTGCGAGGATCTCTTAATTTCATCTCTTCACCGCAGTGCAAATATATGAATTTCATATATCTAAAATCATCATTGCTCGAAAATTATTTCAAATTTTCAAATCAGCTGTCTTATAAAAAATAAACTACTATTATTTGAAAATATCAATGAATAATAGACTTAAAATCTGTATCGATCATAACTTTCTGGGCTCGGGTATAAACTATAAACGGCAGAGGGAAGACTCTCAGTAAAGACAGCAACGTAAAAACAAATCGCACCTAGGACTACAGGAAAATGTATCTATATATGAAAATATAAGATTTCATCATGTAACCTACATTAGTACCTCCCCTTGTTTCATTACTTGAATTTCCAAATGTTCTGAAACAGCAAATCAAATATATTACAAAACAAATCCAATTCTCTCTAACTGTAAAATCCTAACAGACAGCTTAGTCCAGTTAGAAAAGCAGCTGGAAACCGGATATAGGCTCAGCTACAGTCATAACCTACGTGTAGTCGCCCCCCCTCCAACAGTCGGACCTTATGAGCAGAGTAGACTTGTCCTGAGCTTTTCATATGTAATTGTCTTAAGGGAATTTTAGTTTTAATTGCCAGAGAAGGTTTCGCATCATAGCTTTGCATTCAAGCATTGAAAGTTTCATCTCCCCTAGTTACGAGCAGTGGAGACAAGTATGGTGTGCTCAGAGTGGAACAGACACAGACTTTATCTTTATGAACCTTCTAAATATTTTTTAGTGAATGATAACAGTATTATGGGAAGATTAACTAAAATTTATTTTCCAAGGCTCTACAAATTTGTCAACCTTAAAGACTACCTTAACTGTCACCTATCATTAGAACAGAATACTTTTGGAGCAATGATAATTATAATAATGGTAATGAAAAAGATCACAAGAATTATAATAATAGATAATAATAATAATAACAATAATAATAATAATAGTAATTAACATATCGGACTTCTGCTCCGAAGTCATCCAATTTTTTAAATCACTCACGATAACAGACCAAATTGGTCTTAACTCAGTACTATTACCATTACTCATAATAATAATGATAATAACAGCACTTCATTCATTAGTAGTAGTGAGATCATCGAGGGAAGATCACTTAACTTATAGGGGACACCTGGAAAACTAGTACTTAGGCCTGAACTAACACGTGATGATCTTACATTACAGACAGACAGACAGACAGGCAGGCAGACAGACATATAGACAGACATAATTATATATATACATACATACATACTTACATATATATATATATATATATATATATATATATATATATATATATATATATATATATATATATATGTATGTATGTATGTATGTATGTATATATCTGAGAATAAGATAATAAGCTCAACTAACATACACTTTTTAGTTGTTGGTGTTCTTGGTTTTTTCCCCCCAGTTTTTCTACAGGTCATTAAGATTTCGGTTACTTTACAAGTAGCAACCATTAAATTCATTGTCCAAAAGTGGTATCTCTGCTGCGCAAGAGTGCCTAGAAGTTAGTGGTAATTGGATCAATCACAAACATTCACATGAAAAAAAGTGTGGGTGTTAAAATTGTTAAAACGATCGAGCCATAAAGTAACAACGCAAGTAGACAGCAACATTTCAATATAAAAGTCTCACCTTCCGCTCATCGCCACCTCTGTAGTGAAAAAAAAGGTACAACAAAACAGAAAAATTAAAGGAAACCGAAACAAAACAATAAATAATCGATTGCAAAGCAAAGTCTGTTTGATGAAGTGTACAAAGTTATGCGAGGTCTTTGAACTGTAACTAGATAACAAAAAACAAATTATTACTTTACAATACACGGTTTTAAAAGTTGTCTGTTAAAAGTACAAAAATCGCTTGAGCAAAGACCATAATGCAGCAGATAGTGAACTGAAGATTATACTTACTCCTAGAAAAAATACAAAAGATATATTTCTGGGATGCCAAAACTAGTGTTCGTTTGAGAGCATAACATGTATTCAACACTTACCTTTCGCGTTGCGCCTCTTTTTCCTGCAAGTCCACCAAACTAATATTCCAGCAACAGCCAGTGCAACAACTGATCCAAACACTGCACCAACAACAATACCTACGATACCTGCAATGCATGATAAGCTTTAGATTATTTTTTTTCCAATGATCTTATCATAAAGAATCTGCCCGGCTATGTACTCCTGTTATGGTCAGGAAACATTTGGGATTCAGTGAGACCTCAATTTATCTTCTTTCCACAATTTTGTGTTTCACAATTCATTACATATATAGAACTTCACAGGCTGCAATGTGTAATTATTTACTCGTTAAGAAAAAGATATGGTATACAAATTCTGTTCATGCAAGGTTAAAAGAAGTAACGGATAATTTATATTGAATATTCTCCCCTTTTTACAAGCTTTTAAACTACAACTTCTGATCAGTTATTCACAGCAAAAATAAGATAGAGTGTGACGTTAGGTTTTTCGCACTAACTGGACCTTTGCGGAGAACACAACTAATAGCGGTGGAAAATAGCTCGATAGAGACCACTTGCAGCGGGAACGGAAACTCGTCACGGTTTCCTGGTGCACAGAGACCTGCTTCAAGCGAACTTGCCACGGATGTTAAGGATGAGACAGCGTTTAGTTCAGTAACTTTACTTTAGTTCATGAGGAGAACCGAAATGACGTCTAGCTTACTCAACTTCGTAATCGCCACACAGTCATCAATGTCATCACCACACAGTCGTCTATGTAATTCCACGCAGTCCTCTATGTAATTCAATAAGCTTTACAAGATACCTCTTTAAGTACTATCGGGAGCGTGGTTCAATTGTACTCTAAATTTACAATATTTGAATAGTAGAACAAAAGAAGCAGAAAATGTCTCTTTGAAGTTATCGATTCTAACCAAGAGAACGGAGATTGAAGTCATAGCCTCAAAATTAAAAATATATATCTTAGCAAGTAAAGGTGATAAGTCAATTAAAATTTCTGCTTATCAATGCGATGTTGGTGTTAAGTTTGAACAAGTGGCAAAGAGGAAAATTATGGTGCACGTGAAAATAACTAATTTACGGTGTAAATTCAGCTGGCAACTTCCCCGAGAAGTAATTTACCAAGTATGTAACACAAGAAAAATTGTGTACTTCGACTCAAAAATTTAAAGCTCGATTCAGTTGGACATGAATCGGTTTTTTTTTAATTTTCAAGAAACTAGAAGTCAAAGGTGTCTATAAATTACTAAATCAGATTAAATTACTTGTTGCTTAACATTTACAAAGTCCGGCATTTGTCATTAAAGAATGTTTCACCTGTTTTTGTTCCACTTGGAAGCGCTGAAGATTCTACAAAAATACACTCGATTAATTTGAGGAAAACAAGCATGGCTGCTGTTTTTTGGACTTGTGGGCCACACATTTTTTTTCCATAAACCATCTCAGAAAAAAAGATGTAAATGAACCATGTTCTAAAGCTACTGAGCAAAAGTGTGAATTTAAGTAAACAAAAAACACAAGATATTGGGAAACATACTAATCCTTCGTTACATGTCTGCATAGAAATCGACAGAAAATGCACAACAAAAGTGCACACACATGATGCATACACTGTCTTATTAGTACTCAAGTCGGGGCTGGTTGTGGTTGTCATTGTTATCAATACCATTACACACCAAGTTTTCAGATCTCTGTATAAACCTACTACAGTAACAATTTTGAGTTAAATATTATAGTAACTTTCAGACAGAAAAAAAATATGCTTACAACCAAGTACAGGGTGAGGACATTCATTAATCAACTTGCAAAACTTTTGTATGAAGTGTTAAGAGGACTTACCCCCATAGGACCCGTCAACTGGTGATGTGGCACCGCCACCTGTTGGCTCCACATCAGGTCCTTTCCATTTTATGGCACCAACACTGAATTCTCCCAGCTTTCCATCTTTCACATAGTCATTAAGTGTAATGATAATATTTTGTTCCTTTGTGGTGGAATTGAATTTTAGTCCTAGGTCAACAATGATACTTCCACACCTTGGGACAGACATTAACTGAGGGTTAGAGTGATATGAAATGGGAAATAGATAACAAAAGAGAAAATAATAAATTCCTAAATTTAAATATTTGGAAGTGAGAGCAACTGGCAGTCATCTAAATCCATTACTGTAATTCACATACCTCACACCTAACAACTGCACTCCTTCATAGCCAGGTTTATCAGCAAAAGCCTCCCTAAGCTGCAAGTAAGCATTTCAACCATTTTTCTTAAAATGTCAGTGTACATGTATCACACATAAGAATAAATGAGTATGACACCAAACATTAAGGATTAAATTGAACATGGGTGTTTTGCCAAGAATCTGCTGAGAATCAGTTTCTGAGTATTAATCAGTTGTTTCTTTAAAGTGCTCCTTCAATGAATAATTGTTCTTACTTGGCCTCTTATTGCCCTAAATACAGACCATAGGCAAACACTGAATAACAAGAAGATTGTGACAGGCTTTTCAGGTTCAAGATTTGACAGAATTCTGACAGACTGCATGTAATCTAGGAATTCAAAAAACACTCTATTAAATGAAATATTTTCCACAAATTCTCCACCAGCCAAATTTCCTTTTAATCATTATACAGCCAGCACATCAGTCACTGACTCTGAAGTAACCAACACTCAGTGACAAATATAATTAACAGTTTAACAGGTAAAGTGAAGTTCAAAACAAGCACACAGTTTATTTGTGAGAAAAAAAAGTCCCCTCATGTAAACTAGTACATGTTTAATAAATAGCTTTGACAACAATATCTAAGTTATATGTACATTAACTTACCAGTTCTTTTAATTTCTCCAGTAATAAGTGGTTGTATTTTCCATTGACACATGTTTCACTTGTAATGACAATAGTTATGTTGATCATATTTCCTCCAATGTCTATGAAGTTGGAGAAAATCATAACTAAAAGATGTACTCAATCTTTTAATTGATACAGGTATTCCATTTGAAAACCAGGGTTTTGTAAAAACTCTAAGACCATTCTAAGATTATTTAACCCAGAGACAATTAAGACATCAGTTGCTTTCAATATTTAACAAGAACAACTGGGGTTTCTGCCATAGCTTACATGATCCTGAGTAATGGTCAAATTCTCATCATATTTCTCATAGGTGGATTGTGTTGATTGCTTGTCAAATGACAAATTTTGTTGTTGTCCTTTTTTCTAAGCATGAACAAGAGAAACATTCTGCCAAAAATTCTGAAAATGTTCTTATACTGAAGGAAAACAAGTAGAGGGGAAGTCAGTTGCTCATATCAAACTGAACTTTAACTTTCAAATTCAAGTGCAAGTCATTGAGGAAAATTAATAGAGAGGTGGTAAGGTGTCATTTGGCTTCTCTTGCTTTATTGAAAACATTATAAAATTGATGTACACTTTAAAATATGTAGGTCCTAAGTAATTCAGCTTACAATGACTAAAAGATGAAAGAACTAAAACCTAATCTCAATTTTCCCAAAAATATTCCCACATAATTACAATTTTTTCTGTACCTTGTCAGAAGCCCAGTGAATATAGGTTTTTCCCTAATTTTAATACTCAACCCTGTATAAACCATCTGAAGTTTAATTACTGCACTGCTTAATATTTGCAATTTATGTGTGATAAAAGAATCAGTATTGTGCATGTTTATTGTAGGTATTTAAAGAAAACAGAGAGTTATCCATCAAGAAAAAGTAAATGCACTATATAGGCTTTTACAAGTCCTGCAAGACTAACCCCTGGTTCAACTCTGAGAACCCAATCAAAATGTCATGTTGGTACATGTACAAAGATGCATGACTACAAGATGTATGTGACTTACAGACATTGGCAGTTTTTGAATCATCTCCATACAGATTGGCCACTCTACAGGTATAGCTGGCATCATTAAGGACTTGTGAAATTTGAAGAGTATTCTTGTTACAAACTTGTCCTGGGTCACATGGAGTCCAAGTGTAAGAAGGAGGAGGGTTTCCTTCTGCTTCACAATTAAGAGTTACACTTTGTTGTACAACAACAATATACTCAGGTTGAAATCTACCAATCTTGGCTGGAGCTGTAGATCAAGTTGGAAAATAAAAAATTCAGATTAAAAAACAGCATCTACCCAAAGATATATTTGAGTGACTTAATTGTCTTCACTAGCTACTGTAAGGGGTCCATTACACTACCAGTACACTTATATGCAAGAGGGTATTCTTTATCAAGTCTATAATGTTTTTTTTAGTTCAATTCACTTATGTGGGTTTGCAAAATGTTTTCCTAATTTGTGTAATGTGGTTTCAATGAAATTGCTATTGTCTGGATGTTAACTGGGTGATCCTCTTGCCATCCATAAATGCATGTTAGATAAATTACTGGTTATGAAATTTCATAGTATCCAATAATTAAACAGAGAACTTTTTCAGGTTGTCACTCAGAAAACCATTGAGGTGATATTGATGATATCCTTGGGAAAATTATCAGTGAATTAGCCTTTGGTTAATGCTTCTGACACAAATTTCATATGCAACCCCTTTCTTACCATAGATGGAGCTTGGGAAAGAGCTACATACAACAGCTGACTACTTATACTTTCCAAGCAATGAAAACAAAAATATGTTCTCATCAGCATTTTTATTCCAAAATTTTTTGATGATATTTCTAATGTTCAAGATGCTTTGCACCCAAAAGCAAGCAGATACAAATCATGTATTCTATTCAGTTACATTACATGAGATTAAAAGTTGTGAAAAGTAAAATTCTTGACAAAGGGCCAGTTCCAATAAAGGCCAAAGTGGACTTCACTACCAACTTCTAACCTCCAATTTTATGGTAGAAAGTAAGGTAACTAAATATCTAGTGAGTAAAGATGTTATTCACAATATCAAAGGCTTTAATATCACTATTTTAGCTCACTTTAAACATTAGAGATGTTTCTCAGCTGAGCAATAGACAGAAATTGTATTAAACATGATTTGTTATTAAGTCTCAGCAAGTTGCATGATGTAAATTGTTTCTCCTTCCAGAAATCATAGTTTCATCATTCTCACTCTCTCGACCATTATTATATGTACAATCTTTTAATCATCAAGGGATCTATTAAGTTTGTAAAGGGGAAGGGGAAGGGATTGCAACCAAAGTTTTTTTATTGTGACCATTTTACAATTGAAGGTTGCCAAGGGGTGATTTTTTGAAAAATTATGCTTGGAGCCCAGCATGGATGTACTTCACCAAACATTAATAAAAGTAAATGACTGCACATGATAGAATACAGAAAATATAGTATATAAGGAAAGTGCATCTGTGTTTAACATTAGTCTAAGTTGTTTTCAATGCATACTCACTAGTAACAATCACAGAAACTGCTTGGTTCTCTGGTTTACCAAAGCCATTGTAAGCTGTACAGGTATAACCTCCTGCATCAGTCCTGTTGATGTTTGTTATAGTCAGCACCTTTCCTTCTTGCACCACACCAGTATTACCTTGGTTCCCAGGCCTCTCTTTGATCCAAGTGATGTTTGGTTCTGGTCGACCCAAAGCGATGCAAGTTAAATGCAAGTTATCACCTTCAAGAACAGTTTGGTTACCTCTAATTCCAATGATGTTTGTTAGAACTAAGAGCAATCAAACAATCACAGGTAAACTTCAGTGATAATTAAATGGCATGTACGTGTATAATTAAGCAATGTGCAAAGGTGATAATAATGTTAACATGACTTTTAAATATTCTTGGCAAACCTTGCACAGACAAATGAATTTCACATGCTAAAGTTTTCTTAATTCTTTTCTCAGCTCAAACTGAGCATTATTATTTTAACTGCAGTTTCCAAGAAATAATTTTGTAGAAATTAATGTTGAGACCCACAGGAGCTATTTCCTAAAGCATTTTTCTAAAAAAATTTTTCCTTAAGGACTAGCTTTAGCCCTCCAAAGTGTGAATAACCGATTATAAAGTGTCACCATAAATGACTCCTGCAATGTTTTTTTCCAACAAAATATCATGGTTCTTGATATCAATCCTGAAAATATCTCCTAGTTTCAGCTGCATATAGTGATCTTTGCTATACCTCTGCATATAAAAGTAGGCTGTGAATAGGTAGAGATAACAATGGAAAATAGTCCTTGACAGTTAGTAAGGGGGTTGGGTGCAAGAGCAATAAATCAAAGAAATCCCAAGAGGAATGGCAATAAAATCTTGCTGAAATGGAGAAGGGCTTGCAGTTTAAGTAATCTTCCCTGACTGCTTGCAACCAGCAACTATCAAGAGGTGCTGCTGTAGGGAGTTCAAGTCACCATAAACTTGAAATCACTAAATTGCTGTCTAGTGGAATTGAACCATGGTCTGTCATGTGAAACTGCTAGCTAAATTATGGTTTTGCAGGGAACTATCTGGTAGAGTCCCCTGGGACTCCCTCAGATACTTTTGTTTTTCTATTGGGATACTAAACTATTACTTGACATGTGGTCACCCAAAAGTGTAAAATTGTATCTGCACAAAACATAGGAGCAAAAAAAAAAAAACCTACAATGTACAATAAGGGTCAAAAGTACCCTTGCGAAATGGCTTTTGGAATTCCTAAGAATTCCTAGGAATTCCTAGGAATAAAGGTGTGAATTTTCGCGGTAAATTCGGACTGGGAATTCCCAACCATAATAACTCTGGTTCTAAAAACCTAGAAATTCCCAGAAATTCCAAGTTTATTGCCAACAGGACTTAGGATTCCTAAGAATTCCAACTCAGAGAACCAATGACTTTCCCTGAAAAGCTGTAAATCTAAAAAATTCCTAGGAATTTCTGGGAATTTTCGGGAATTTTTAGGAATGTTTAAGAATTACTGGGAATTTTAAGCAAAAATTTGAGGCTAATGATATAAAATAAATACTTTAAATTAAAAAAATCCAGCTAAAATTCAAGTATTCAATGAAATTTATTTAGAAGCTTAATTAAGGCTTACATGTAAAATATTTTTGATTCATTATGAACATCAATGTGTGGTAATATTAGGATGGAATTTGATTTTTCTTTTCTTGAAAACTTCATACAGATTAATCCTCAATTACAGCTATTCATATAAAATAGTCCTAATCAATCATTAAATTTGGTTTGACACAAATTGTGAATAAAATCTGTTGATTCTTTTCCATAAAATACAATATCTTAAATTATATTTGAAAACCAAACACTCCTAGGAGTGAAGGGGTTAATTACAGACAAATAAATTTGATTTTTTTATTAAAAATTACTGTAACTTTAGTAACTGTAACAATAAATTAGAATGAAGTTATCCTAAACTGCAAACTTAGCTGCTGTTTGTATTTTTTTCCTGGGCTCACACTGAGTTGGCCTTAAATGAGGTTGTCTACAAGAAGCTTGACCATTTTGTATCTGGGTTCCATGACATCTGAATTTGAAAAAAAATAACATATTTAAGTATATATATATTTAAAGCTCAGACCAGGCCTTTAAGATGGCTATGAGGAAAAGGGCATTCATTGCATTCTCAAATTGAGAAATCTCTGTTATATTGAGTGACTTTTATATTGAAGTTAGTACATCTCTCTCATAGATTTTACTAAAAAAGGGCTGGATACATTATTTTGTTTTTACCAAGGATGGCTTCTTTAAGTAATAAGGTTTTTTAATAACGGTTCCTATTATGAATCTTGAATGTTCCCAAACGTGACTAGAGGAATCTTGAAACCTTACTGATAGGTTTATTTCATTGTAAAGCATAAGCTTAAGAAACTGCGGCATGCAAGTGACCGATTCGATTCTCAGAATTATTCTAGTTTCAGTTGCGCCGAGCGTTATGTAAGCTTAATCCAACCCGCTACATCTATTCTTTTATAAGATTTTGATCACGTAACGAATATCGCAATTTTTACTCACCACAAACTTTCAAAATCGTAGCTTTACAGATGGCCACTCGACCCTTGTTTGTACCAGTCAATATGTCAACTGTTGTCCCTTCTTTAAACTCCACGGCGCCAACGACTTTCTCTTCTTTTACAACACTCACGCTGTTCTCGTTCTCCCACTGAACCACAATAAAAGCTATCTTTAGAAATGTTATATTAAGCAAAACAGTTGAGAAAAACGATCAACCGATGAAAAGGACATTCAAAGATGAGCGCCAAATGGAGTCTTCTTTGTTTCCGATCACGAGCATGAGCACGTGGGGATCTTTTAGGACTTGTAATTGGCCAGCAAAGTGAATCCGCTGGCTTGCCGATTGTAGTGTTAAGAGAAGCGCACAACTTTATTTTGACTTCTCTTCTCCGACCGATTCTCTGCTTCTAGACGATGGATACCTTGGTGATATAAATAATGATGTGAGCTCACTCTATGTAGAAATAATCGACAAGAATCGATCGTATTACAAATACACGATTTGTGGCCGAAAGTTGTCGAGAAAACAAAGACTCGAAACTCACTTGAGTTGTGTTCATGGCAAAGGTGAGAAATAACACAAGCCAATCACAGTTTTGAATGCGACTACAAATCGTCTTTTACCCTCATATTTATAAAAGAAGGATACCACATTGGGAAGTATAAGAGATACATAGATGATCCCAGTGTACCAGTACCTAAATCTACAAAGCTTGACCGTAGCAAGTGTTCAGCAACATGTTCCAACACTGCCATCTCGATTCCTCAGTCAGTCGTTTCCACTGAACTTAAAGCAGTAGTGACAACAGAGTAGAGACAGAAGTAACTATATGCGATTACAGAGGTGTGTTGGAACTCTGGTCCACAAATAGTTATGCACTGTCCGAAGTATAAAACAATTTTGTTGATAGCTGACAGACAGAGAAGAACAACCAGTAAACTTTAGAGCTGTTATTATTGAAGTGTGACTTGCAATTTTCATTTTTATACAAAGAAGGACTTGTATTTTGCACCAAAAATAAAAAGATGTAATATTTTTTGGGAGATCCAGTGATTGGGACATTTAAGAAATTAAGTTAGGAAAGGAAACTTGGTTGGTACTTCTCACTACTAACAAGTCTTGTTGACAAATATTTTCAGATCAGAGTTTCAAATAAAGTAAATTGAAGATGTCATTTAAAAGGTGTTTTTTCTCAAAGGGCACATTGACTACCTCTGTCTTGTCTGCATGCCAAATGTTTGCAAAGCGTGTGGTATTGGAACTCTTACAAAAATGTTTTGTAAGAATAAAAACAGCAAAACAAATTACAGCAATTAGTCACGAAAACAGAGCAAAAAACTGAAAAAAAAAACAGCAACAACAATCATGAAAAAAGAAAGATTAATTAGATGTTGAATGTGTTTGTCTAAGGCATGAAATTTCTCCTAAAAATATTGTCAACAAAAAGTCTCTTACAGTGTCTGAGGCAACTGAGCTTGACTGTTCCAAGGTTTTCTAACAAAGGCAACCAGTAATGTAGGTTAGGGAAGTAACTTATGTTCATAACTAACAAAGTTCTTTAAGTGTAGATAACAATGTAATTATTGTTAATTATTGTGGAAATTGTGTACCAAGGAACAGCCAATGAATGTTTGATGATTTTGGCACATCAGTGAACATGAGACATTAATTTGCATCACAATAAAAATATTTTTTGATCATGGAATCCAAGAGTACATTGGATTAATTGGCAATTTCCATTTAACATAACTGACAGCTGGTTCATGAGAAAATCCATATTAATGTAAAGATTTACTGAAACTTAGTTGAACAATAAATTTCATGATCTGTAAGTTATAAACATATACATGTATGTATATCTCTTGGTAAGTTTTGTATAGCATACCTTTTATTGAGCCAAAGTTTTAAGCCTCTGAAATTACTCCTTTTCTTAAAACCTTCACATTCAAGGTATTGAGAATTTCTTTGAATTTATGTGGACCTCAGGGTATTAAAATTGCCTCAAATTCAATTCCCAGAAATTCCCAAGAGTTCCACACTTCTTAAATTATAGGTAGTTTGTAAAGCTGAGAATTCCTAGGAATTCCTAGGGATTCCAAGTCCTCACAAAACAGGAGTCTTCCTTTCCCAGAAATTCCCAGTAATTCCAAGCTTTTTAAATCAGAGTTAATTTGCATAGTTGGGAATTGTTGAGAATTCCTAGGAATTCCTAGGAATTCCCAGGAATTCTCAGAAAACTGGAAATTCAGTTTGCAAGGGTCATTTGCATAATTGGGAATTTTTGAGAATTCCAAGGAATTCCTAGGAATTTCCAGAAAACTGGGAATTCAATTCGCAAGGGTAGGTGGATGACAATCTTCTAATCAACAGAAATCTTGTGATTCATCTCTAATAAGTTAAATGCAAGTCCCACCTTCTCCCCCCCTCCCCACTGAAATTCGTGACCATTTAGTAACACCAGGCAACATTCAAATGGGGGGGAGGGGGGTTTTAGAAAAATTAAAAATTAGTACAGCATGCTAACACTTTTGCCTTTCATTGCACAATGTAGTTCTCATGCGAGTGTGTCTTTAAAAATATTATTGGGGTATATTAAAAACTTAAAAGCCTTAATAAGACCCCAAGACTCTCAAACCAAAAACTTGTGTGAGGAATTTCTAATTTTCATAATTTACCCACCGCAATAACCTTAGATGTAACACACATCAGTAAAATTTTGATGAGCAAACTTGACAGAAAAACCAGGAAGCAAATGACAGTAATATCCAAAATTCCCTACACAGATTTGAAAATATACCCCTCCTGTTTGAAATTTTTTGAAATTTTATTAGAGCAGTAGGTTTTTATAATTGATTTATTTGCTTGAGGAGACATCCTCTTAAGTCAGTAAACTAGCTTTCCAAAGATAATTGCACTCTGCGCTTGCTAAGAGGGTAAATTAAGATCTTTCTGATAAACTTTAAATATATTGGGTGTAAAAAGACTTTTATCTGCTATTACACATGTAAGTTTCCAGCAAATAGTAATCAACACCTCTTTAGATTTGAATTTACCTTATAAACCCTTTAAAGATTAATTTCTTGATTTCTCTTCAGGTTGACTATTTTTTCACAATGTTATCCATGTGAGGTTTACCAGATCAAATCATTCTCGAATGTAGCCAAATGTAGTACTAACAGACAGCTCTATGTTAGGGGTTGGAAAATCTGATGGAAATAGTCAAGTTCATTGCCGCTTTGTGGTCACTTCATCACCACAAGCAGTCTGAGTAGCTACCATTACTTGGTATAAGTATCCTTTATACTGTTGAAATCCATCTAGTTGTTCCTTCCTCCAGATGAAGAGTAGTGATAGCAAACCAAGATCACATCTGTGACTTTGTTATCACACTCTTATGACAATTACATATGATTACTGAGGTAAGCAGAGTGTGAAGGAAGTTTGGGTTATCTTTATCCATTAATGTCGTAATTTATTTTTGTTCACTATCTCAAGGAGCATCCCAATTTTGAGCCTTTTATTTTCTGCACTTTGGGTGTTTGATTCACATGGGACTTCAAATGGTATGTAAGACACATCCATGTGATTGCATCATTGTACTTAAAAGTTAAAAACAAACCTTCTCTCTTTGAACTTTATCTGCACTTTAGGTCTTTGATTCTAAATAAACTAAACTGAAACTAAATGAATTTGTTAAAAAGGGATGTAGAAGTTTTTTTTCCCGCTAAGATTTCAAATTGTCCAATTTCAGACAGCATTTAAACAAGACTCAGATAAAAGTATACTGCAATTAGGGTACGCCTTTCTTATGGTCACAGCAACACTCTCAGCTTACCTATGACGTGCACCTGAATTGCTCGTTTCCAAGTATCGCCGTTGCCATCATTTAACTCACAGCTAAATTCTCCGTTAGACTTATCGTCAGCAATAGTGACGGGAGAGATTGACAGAGAAGCACTTTGTGGAGTTGCACTTACGTTGAACCGTTTCTGAAATTCAGCTCTAATAGGACCTGCTGCTGAACCATCTTTTCCAATGTTGACTATACCAACAGTGTCGAATTTTATGATAAAACCAAGACCTAGACCTACTGACAGACTGAAGTTCCAGTTCATTGTGGCAGAAGATCCTTCATAAACCTGTACAATGCCAGGGGGGAGCACTTCAGCTGTATTTGATGTTGTAATAACTGGAGAAGGTTCATACCATGTGACACTTCCGCCATCTGAAGGAGAATATTTTGGATCGCAGTTATTTATGCTTTCGATTTTATAAAACAAGAACAGCTTCTCTATGATTTCGAATTAAAACACCTTATACATTCTTAAAGGTACCACAATCTGCTGTTGTCGATAAAAAATCATCTAAATAAAGTGCATCATAAGTTGAAACTATCGAGTTCTGTTACGAAAGATGGTAAACACTGAAAATTGCAGTACAAATCGAAAAAAAATTTAATCCCAGATCAATACTGTACCTGTTGGTTGGGGTATAAGAAAAATACATACAAAGATAAATTTCAAATGACAAATCATTTCAGAAACGTCCTTGTTTCCCAAAGATGAGTATGCTGAGCTCGATGAAAACATGATCGCCAGATATAGACAATCGAGACGGAACACACTCCTCAAAGGAGTCGCTTAGAAAGAGGACGGGTGTACCGTCGCACTGATGTCCTCTAATTGTAGAGATGTCCTCTGACGTAATGTGATACAGTGGCCAATCATATCCTGTGATCTATCGAGCGACACGCGGCTTGGGACTGGTTAAGAGAGTCCGTTGTAGTTATGTCTTCAGGCAAAAGTATTCATTCAAGGGGGTTGGGATAAGTGGAAAATTTGACCAGTATTTTCCGGTAACTGACCTCAGGAAAACATGCTGCTCGCATGATCATTGCGAACCGGATCGTTGACCTCTCACATAATTTTTTTTGAAGTTCTATCGTTCCTTCGCTAACGGTGTGTGATCGCATCGTTGTTAGAACCTAAACGTGGTAGAATAACTTGCTACGTAAATAACAAAGCGGCTTTCGACCAAAGGATGCGTTATTGTTCACGCTTTATTTGCAGTCTTGCTTTATTTACTGTCTTCATTGTTCGACTTGCGACTCCATTGACAACATTTTACACACAAGCTAAGACAAAAGCACAATGTGGCGTCATATCACAATTGTTTTATTTTGTTTAATAGTTGAAGATCATAGATTATGGTTCGTCGGCATGAAATTATATATTTTTGACGCTTCGCTGATCTGTCGGAGGTGAACTCGACTGAGAGGTCAAAGTTGTGATAATTTGTCCGCGACACGAAGTCTTCCTTCAATCACAGAAGTTTGGCCTTCAGTTTTTTATTTTGAATATTGTAGGTTTTTGCTGTATCGCACTGAGCCCTCCGTAAAATTTGAAGTAGTAGATTGTGATGTGATTTTATTGCGGTTCCGCTGATTTTAGTTGATCTTTTTTTAGTACTGCTTCTAAATCACTGATGGATTTATTGCGCGTTTGGGTGGATTTGTCATAATTTACCCCGTTTATGACAAATTCACAATGATCAAATCGAAAATCGGGGTAAAGTTGGCTATGGCAAGTCAGTAGGATATATTCCACCTACAGGATGAATTTCACAGAATTTACCCCGTTTTCTCAGGTTAATTAAGGCCTGGGTCAAAAATGATTTTCGCCTCCAGTGCCCCCCCAGCAAGGTTCGCGGAATTCGCGTGGACTGCGCGAGTAACCATAGTTACTTGGAATCAAGATCGCGTAGTTCGTGAACGGCATCCGCCATTTTGAAGTGTCGGCTTTGCATTGGTTTTTCCCATCTTCGTTGGTGAATCCGACAATCTAGAGGAAAACATCAAAAGGAGGTGATAACATTTTCTTTTCTATCTTCATTTCCTCAAAAAATGGCATGATATCGCTATCTTAAAGCCAAAGAGAACCCTTTTGAACCTACGAAGACTTCTAAACACCGCTCTCAACATGTTCATTGATTTCACTGCAAATACAATGCAACATGAATTTATAATATAGCGCTCATTTCTAGAGCTCAATAGCGTTTAACAATGTTTGTAACTTTTGCATAGAAAAAAGTACTATGTTTTGTAACAAATGCATAGAAAAAATTTTCATTGTGGATATACCATTCAATTTTGAAATTAAATTTAGCTTGATAAATCCTCTATCACATCATGATGTGTAATCTTATGGTGTTTATCAAAATTAAGGCTTTTGAATGCTTTGGAAACAATTTCTCCAAGAAGCAGATGAATTTACTGACAAACGTAATCCCCCAAAGCAGTTGTTAGGTAAGTTTAATTGCTGACATGTAAGATGCAGATTGTCTTGTCATAAATTGTCCCTTGAAAACTAAGAGGAAAAAAGCTGTACTAATGTGTGTTAGTTTATTCCGAGGTCCCTTACTGAATTGCTATAAATATATAATAATAATAATTTTAATTACTCACACAGAAAACCAGCCAGCCCTTGCAGATTTCAAAGGGAATCTACTTGATTAAAACCAGTTTTATTTAATGTTATCCCTATTTGTTTTCTTGAAGAGGTCCTTCCAGTTATTCCACACAACTAATTCATTACAAGCATGTTAATGGTGTTATTTAGGAGGCATTTTTTTGGTTTTTAAATCATGTTATATCAGTTTTAATTATAGTCAACACTTTGGTTTTTAAGTTTTGACTGGTAATAATTGCAACAATCATTGTCAATGATGGACTTGTAATTGATATATGTGTCTATTTGAATGTAAATATTCTACCCACTACACCAGTGGAGTATCTTTTAATTCAAATGCATCACAAAAGTTCTGATAAATGCATATGATTCTGACCATAGCCTTCTCTCTTTGTTGATAAGACATGATTAATTACCAGTGCTTACTGTTGCCCCAAGTGGGGCACTGTTTTTTTTTTTTGTGACAAGAGCAAACACAAACTGGTATAAGATGTGTCATCTTCTCAGCCCTACTCACAAAAGATGTGCCATCTTAAGAGCAGGATAGGTTGTCCTTGTTACAAAGTCCGAAAGGAAAATTTTAAAATTGTATTTCTTGCTTTTTTTGTTGCTCTTCCAAGTCAATATTCCTGTTAGAAGGCTGTGGTGGCCTAACTGGTTAAAACTCTGGTTTATAATTTTAAGTTTGATCTGCCAGTTGCTCTCCTAAATTCAATTTCATAGATCAATAATTGGCAGGAATTGGGAAATAAATCAGTACATGTATGTTATCTAGCAGCGATGTAAAATTATAGACATGAGTATGACCTATGAAGTAATTTGTACCTGATGGACCCTAGAGCACCTTATCTGTGCATTATTAAAAATGTCCCTCTAACATTCATTCACAATTCGTAAAGCAGAAGCACAAAATTAGTTTAGACCAAGAGCACACATAAACTTGCTAAGACATGCACATACATTGTAATTTTAACCTTGCAAAGCCCAATAAAAAGACTCCTGCTGTGACATGGCTAGGGTCACTTTACCTGATTAGAGTGTTAATTATTACTTTCTTAAGCAGAGGTTTCATTAAGATTTTGAGGTGATGGGAAATGTACAAGGAAGCAGGCAAAATATGTTTTGATTCTGATTTATGTCAGTCACAACATGCAGGAAAAATTATGTTCCCAGCCAGTCAATTCGCCTAGTGTCAGGCCCGTGAAACCCCTGCTTAAGCTTATAGTATTCAGTGAGATATTATGGAAGCCAGTGTTGCCATAATGCCTGTTGTTGTTGGTCTTCTTACAGGGCTGGCATCCAAACATTCTTGAGCCATGGAAACCAAAAGTGGAATGTTTTGCTTAACACCTACTTTGAACAGAATTTTACCAAGGGAAAAAATATCACTGGCTTCATTAATTCTTTGCAGGAGGAAAGGAGCTGTCACATGCTTTTCCAAAGTCAATGATGTAGCCATGTTTGTTACTCACAAGAAAATTATTAGCCTTAAAATCACAGTGAAGAAAGCCTTTTGTGTGAATATGTGAAAGGGCTTCTGTCAAATCATGTGAAATAATTAACCAGTCATTTGTTATGAGTGAGCTTTGCACATTCTGTATTGTTGCACTGTTTTTCTGACAAGACAATAGTTTGCTTATCATTACAGATGTATTGTCTTCCCCTTTAAACTCCATTATTAAGGAAATGGGCTGCTTTTGAAGCTGCACACCTATGATGGTTGGGATATTTTTATATGGGAGTGCCTGCATAATGTGAGCCTCCTTCATTATCTCTGTGATGTCCTGCATCAGAGACTGTTTTTCCACAACCTTTGTATCAAATTGTGTGTACTGTCTCAGAAGGCATCAACCATAGGATCCTTCTCCCAGTATTATATTCTCTCCATTGGTTGGAAGAAGTTCAGTATGATTGATTAAGTTTACAGTGGATTATTTGGTACTTGCATTCCTTTTAAAAAACTGGAAAATGAAGGCAAATATATTATAGAGAGTGTGCTTAAATAAATGCTAGATTGCAACACAAGTAAAGGTGAAGATTGGTGATCTCATTGTTTGGCATGCAAATTACTGCAAAGTAACTAGAAACATTACTCCTCCTCCAGATGGACTAGACATTAGCATTGGATTTTATTTTTTTCTTAGCGTGCTCTCCCTCGACGCTGCCGCTTTTTCTCAATTGCATCTTTCTTTTTTTGGAGCTGAAGTTCCTTCACTTTTGTTTGTGCTTCAGCAAAGCTTATTTTAAATATTTTCTCAAAGTGGCCATTCACTTTTGAATAAATGTGTTTTACAGCAGTTTTAATGGCTTTTTGCGTTGGTTTCACTTTACTTTGTGTCTTCGCCCCACTTTCAATAAGGGCCTCTTTTAAAAGTTTTCGGGTTTTGAAAGTTTCTCCACTAGGGAAAAAATTATGGATGGCATAATAGTGCACTTGACAACCTCCACAATTTGACGGTGTGTGCTGTTTCTTCTGCGCTGTATTAAGAGCTTTCCAGTTTACCATTGAAAACGTGTCTTGGTACTGGGCCTTGGCTTTTGACAGGGTCGTAACGAGGTATATTTTTTCGTCGCTGATCCCGTATTTTTACGCAAATTTTTAATCCCTGATCCCAAAAGTGATGAAAATTTTGATCCCTGATCCCACAAAATTTTGTTGATCCCAGTGTATTTTCTATCCATAACTTTGTCTGGTAATCATTTTTTACCAATTCGCCAATGCGACATTAGACTAAAATAAAAATGAGCTACTTCACATTTCTTTCACTATATTATGATGGTCCAAAGTATTAGAGTCCTACCTGAATTATCTCGGTTCCCACTTCTTTTGTTCGTTTTTATCATTGTAGAATATTACCTTTGGCAATCCTCGTTGAAGGATCCGTCACTTCATTGACACGTGTTAACAATCTTGATTTTTCTCAAATTTAACTATCAGGTGAATTTCACTTAATTCAAAACACACTAACTAGTGCAATACTATAGAAATTCTAAACGTTTTATACGGGAAACACGAGGAAACAAATTTTTCCTAAAAATCTGATAACTTTCGAATCTATCCGCTTGAAAAAGCAGACTGCTTGAAATTGACGTTGATATTAGCCTCATAAACTTTAATAAACTTTCTGTAACCAAAATTAGAATAAAACGTATTTATCGCAGCGACCTTCCTCGACATTCGTTTGAAAAAGAAAAACCGTTTGGTGATGCTATAAACTTTAAAATTTCATGAGCATGCGACCTAGTCAGTTTATGATACAAGTTTTTGTTATCATCTATTTGCAGTATCTGTGCTACTTGTTAATCCGTTTTCTAGACATCTGAAAAAAATCTATTGAAAAATATCTATCGAGAAAATGTACAACGTGTGTGAAAATTTGACTCCGGAAAGGCCCTGGAATTGTTCTGAGCTTGTTAAAGCACAAATCGTGTCACCCTCCTGCCAGATCTACTGCGTCCAGCTTCGAAACGAGTCGGTTGGTCATCATCGTCTTCACTTTTGTCGCCATCACTGTCGTCCTCACTACTGCTATCATAATCAGCCTCGTCAGAGCCGTTAGCCAAGTTTTTTAGGCGTTGCTCCTCGTTTCGGCATAGAATGAATTTCTCACCATCCTGAACCACCGTTACAATATCTAAAATACACTGAGGTGGGTTGTTGTTGTCTTCATTTCCTACAGTGTATAATAGTGCATCTTCCTCTGACGGCTCAAGCCAGTTAATACGCATGGTACGCTCAAGGATGCCACCATTACTGCAATGAAGGTCCTCCTGAAGAATAGCAAGGAAAAAGGGCTCCAAATAACGTTTCCAGTTGTGTTTTAGGGCGACTACATCTCCCTTTGAAAAACGAACTGGACGAGTTTCAATCTGTGCTGTTTCAGGTTGTCATGCGTCTAAGGCTTGAAGCTCTTCAAGCATGTCAACAACATTTTGAGTTTGGTTTGTTTGAACTCTTAGGATCATGCTTAGAGATAGAGGGAGAGTTCCAGCCTTTTCTTTCGTTTTGTCTCTTACTCTTTGCTGCCGTACGCCTTGCCCAAATTCTTTAGCAAACAGCCTAAGTTCCCTTGATTCTTCACGCAAAACATCCTTCTCCTTAACACTATCTTCTTGCCTAAAATGTTCTTCGCTAAGCTTTGCACGATCATAAAGCCACTCAGGCTCCCTCTTGTTTATTGTTCGTTCGGTGTAGTGGCTTTGGGGTCCCGTATACACTGAAAAGAAAGAGTGATACACCTTCTGTACGGATTCAACAATACAGCTTGGTCTGCGGCTGCCGTAATCATGCATGTCTGGCGTTGGACGACTTGGGGTTCTCATTCCCGCAAAGAAATGTTCCACATATAGTGTCGTGAAACTTGGAAAGCATATATCCTTTGCAATATGCTGCAAATCGTTTTCAGAGAAGAACGAATTCGTTTTCTCAAATGACGAATGAAGCATTTTAAAAGCGTCCCTCGTAGGTTTTGACAATGCTAGATCAGGACCCTGGGGACATCTTCGACCTGTTCGAAAATACGCCTGCCTCTCTACGTCTTTCATGAAATCCGCCGCTTCTTTGAGAATAATCAACCCGTCTTCCAAACTTGGTTGGAAACTTGGCTTCCTTGATAGTTCTTCTTCAAGTTGGAAGAGTTCAATAAATAGCCCCAATTTCTCTCCGAGATGTTTATAGCTTTTTAAGCTTGAAATTAGTCTGACAGCTTGATTGCTGGTGTCACAGACAAATATAGATTCTCCATATGACACAAGCGCTGATGGCGAGTGAAACCTAACTGTAAAGCCGTCTTGCATCCCCGGCTGGCTTCCTCCCAGTGAGTGAATTACCTTGCCATCAATACAAAAGTTCACTGAATGGTCATGAGAATCAGAGAAGACGAGCTTTTGTGCTGTTTTAGTAATGCCAAGGATAACTGACGGGTCCTTTTTAACAACACTGGTTAGTTCGACAGAGGCCTCTTCACGAGAAAGACATTCAATTCCTTGGTTGTGTATCGAGATCAGGAGCCCTTCCGGAGCGTCATAAATGCAAAGCGGTTGACCCTGGTTTACCACAAAATAAATCTCCAGTTGGGCTTTGTAACGCTTCTGCTGAATGTCAAAGTCAAACTGCGATATTTTGAAAATGGTCTTCTTGTCAAAGGTGTGGTGTTGCTGATTGTTTATATCGGGAGAAAACGCGACTAACCTTTTAAAATCTCTATTGTTTTACAAACCCGGCGCACGTATTTAGAGGGATGTCGGCCCGCAAATTGACTTGCAGATAAAGACCAGAAATTTATAGATCTTTTTATAAATTTCTCATCCTCAATCCCGTTTCCCGCCGGAAATAATAAAAAATCCCCGCGTCCCGCCAGAAAAATAAGCAACTTCCCGCTTCCACGCTATCCCGCATCCCGCCTTAAAATTTCCTTTCATCCCGCATCCCGGAAGCTAAAAACGCCTCATCCCGTATCCCGCCAAACCTATGTTAGACCCTCAAGATGGGGATCTGAATTTTGGCCGCGGGGTGTCCGCAAGGCAAGAGTTACTGTAATAACATTTACCAGTAAACCTAAAACTGATGAAATTAATTTTATAAAAAAAATCCTTCAAATTAATCCATCTATTATTTTCCTTGTTCAAAAGAAAACTTTTCTTTCATCTAAATTGCCTTTAGAATAAATACTACTCGGGTCCACGCTAAATCCCACAACACGACTAAATCTCATAGTCCATTTGTGCTATCAGTTTTCAATGTGTTATCAGTTGTTACATCATGGTTTTTGTGTATGGTCTTTTCGCCGTTTTAGAAGCAATTTTATGTATACTCTAGTCCTTATAATTGGTAACAACACACAAACACTCATTATTCTAAGTTACCTGCTTGTTGAACGTCGCCTTGAGCTTCGCTCATGCCGTTGATCGCCTTTTCTGCTGAGCGACCAGGAACGTGACCTAGAATGTCGAGTTTCTGAAATTAAATTTTGCCAAAAGATTGCAGATTTGAACCAGAAAGAAAACCGTAAATCAACGTTTACTCCAATTTACCTTCTACGTGTGTGATTATCTTTTCTCTTCTTTCGCTTCCCCATGGAAAAAAACTTTCTGAAATGTTGACTTTTTTAAAAAACGATCCAGTAATCTCCAAGTATACTCAGTACCCGTGCTCAGTCGAAAGCAATCCAACGTGCTCAAATGACCTATTCCTGGCATGTTGTATGACATGATTGAACGTCATGCAGCGCGAGTAAGACAATAAAATCCTGGCAAGTTATTAACAGATTAACGACCCAATGCCTAACCAGTCAAGTTTGAGTCAACTAGTACTCTTTGATTCTGGTCTCCGGTGAACTATCAATCTATAAGTCCAAATACCAAGGAATACTGTATAAAATGGGTCATAAAATTTCAAAAAGCTTTAAAAATCCATGTTTAGGCGCGCATCGTAAATTATTGTTGTTATCTAGACGCCTGATCCTTGAGCCCATGGAAAACACGCTGATCCCGATCCCGAGGGCTTTGATCCCGGATCCGAGGCTGTGATCCCTGATCCCACCCTTTTTTAGGCCTTTGATCCCTGATCCCATATACCTCGTTACGACCCTGTTTTGAGTTCATCTTTCGGAAAGAGGTGTAAATTGCTTTGGATTTCTTGACGTAGGTGGAACGTTCGACCGCAAAGACTTCCTGACTGTCACCCTCGAACGCTGCAAGATAGTTCTTCCACTTTTCACAAGGGTTAGTTTCAACCGAAGCACTTCCAACCTTACAAAAGCTCTCCTTTACAGCAACTCTTGCAAATCCACAATTAAAAATGACAGACATTTTCGTTTCACACGAATACACTTAGCTCGTTATCGAGAAGTACCGTTGTTAGGGGAAAAAACCTTGAAGAGTTTCAAGGAATCAGTGCGATAACTTTCAAGTTTTGCGCCAAAATTGTAATTCAGTCTCGTTATATGATACTACTTGGGATAAAATTACAAACATTCTTTATTCTTACCGCCCAAATTTGCAATTGTGTTTTATTAGAACTGTCAAAGGCGATCTAACCCTGGATTTACAGAGATGCAATCGACCTCGGAAAACGAGAAAAAGAAATAAATATCATCAAAAGTATACAAAGTTTGCCTGTATTACTTCTGAGATTGCTCCAATTGGTATTTGGTAGTGTATCAGCCGTTAAATTATTGCTCCTGAACACTCGCGTGACTCGCGCATATCAAACTTTGCCTATTGTTATGGTTGGGATTTTTTAATACAATGGGCCTTTTGTTATCCATCCTTGGGGACTTTTCTATTTAGTATCACGAGCTTTTACTCGGCTTGATTCGGATTCATTCGGCAAATTGTCGGCGATGACATTTTTCCCCAGCGGTAGTCTACTTGGGAAAATTTGAACAGACTAACAGGGGGTTAGTCAGTAATTGTCCAGGGTAACGATTGTCATACAGTGTTTGAAACGAGCGGACCGTTAATGTATTTTCTCTTGAAGTAACTTCCTCTAACTTCTTCAGAAGCAAGATAAGCCGTCCGTCAAAATGGCGGACACTAAGTTGAATTACGTGACTGCGAGTTTTCAAAATTCCCACCTCTTAAACAGTTTTAATTTGTCTTTTTTCCAAATAAACAGGAACCTGTGGGATTACTTTCGTTGATAGCGGTTGGAACCAGGTAAAGGCTAAGATGTTTTCGGGCGAAAACCATGATAGAGGAAGCAGCTTCGCAGAGACAAAACTTGATTTAATCTGCCTAGCACATCTCTCTTTTGGCAGCCATTCCAAGTGGGAAAACAATGAAAAACGTCTCAAATATTCATAGCGACAACTGCATTTTCATTTGCCTTGTGTTTAGTGGTGGGAATTTGCTCAAGAAAGCAACCGACGAATTTGGCGCCTAAATTAACTGTTTTTGGCTGTTGAGAGTATCATATTACGCTGCCACAATTCAGTCCGAGAGAGATGGTAGTGATACACATTTCTGCCAAGTATGAGAAAAATCCCTCGCAAAATAGCTAAGTTATTTTCAATTTTGTGAAAATATGGGTTAAAGACAGGGTGACCCAGGCCTTAATTAACTTGAGTTTCTAGAATTCGCTGATCAAATGGAAAATCTGGGTAAATATGGCATGTGGGAACTTAGCGTGTTAGCCACTTGCGGATGAATTCGTAGAATTTCTCCCGTTTTTCTAGAATTCATTGCCATATATCCCAAGTTGTCATATTGGATATGGCAACTTAAGATCTATTTCATTTGGAGGATGAATTCTCAGATTAAACCCCGTTTTTTGTCAAATTCACTGAAAAAAAATGAAAATTCGGGGTAAAGATAGCATATGGGAACTTCAGGTATTATTAACTTGTGACATAAATGTCTAGAATTTACCTCGTTTTTCTCGAATTCACTGATCAAATGGGAAATCGGGGTAAAGATGGCATATGGGAACTTACCGTGTTAGCGTGACTTGCGGATGAATTCGCAGAATTAATCCCGTTTCTCTAGAATTCATTGGAAAAAAAATGGAAAATCGGGTTGAAGGTTGGATATGGCAACACGGGATCTATTCCATTTGGAGGATGAATTCTTAGATTTTACCCCGTTTTTCTAAAATTTGTTGAAAAAAATGGAAAATCAGGGTAAACTGATAGCGTATGGGTACTTCGGCTATTATCCACTTGTAGCATAAGTACTAAGAATTTACCTCGTTTTTCTAAAACTCACTGATCAAATAGAAAATCGAGTTGAAAATGGCATATGGGAACTTAGGGTATTAGCCACTTGCGGGCCGAATTCTCAAAATTCATACCGTTTTCTAGAATTCATCGAAAAAAAATGGAAAATCGGGTTAAAGATTGGATTTGGCACCCAATAGGATCTATTCCACTTGAAGGACGAATTCTCAGAATTTACCCTGCTTTTCTAGAACTCACTGAGAACATAAACTCTTTTTAAAATTTGTAATTTTTTCTATCTTTCATTTTTAACTAAGACTAGCGAGCCGCACAAAGAAACACTTTTTGTAGTTGTTAGCTTCTCGTTTATTTCGGACGCGTTTCGTCTCTAATTGAGACTTCTTTAAGGAATGACTACAATTAAAGAGGAAGAACGTATTATATAGCACGTTGTTGTGCCTAAGTTTTGAATTTCCATGGAAGTTAATAATAACTGAAAGCGGGCGTTGAAAAAATACTCCTAATTACAATTAGGTTATTGCGTATTGCTTTATTTTGGGGGGCTAACGATTAGCGCTAATAGCTATAATATTCACTGCTAAAAAAAGGAATGGAAAATTGGGGTAAAGATGGCATATGGGAACTCAGGGTATTATCCGCGTGTAGCGTGAATTCTCAGAATTTATCCCGTTTTTCTAGAATTTACTGAAAAAAATGGAAAATCGGGTTAAGATAGGATATGGCAAGTCAGCAGGATAAACATGATGAATTCCACTTGGAGGATGAATTTTCAGAATTTGCTCCGTTTTTCTATAATTTATTAAAAAAAAAAATGGAAAATCGGTGTAAAGTAGATTAGATGTGGCAAGTCAATGGAATATATTCCACTTGGAGGAGTTACTAGAATTTACCCTGGTTTTCTATAACTCCTTGAAAAAAATTGCAAAATCAGAGCAAAGATGGCACAAGGGAACTACGGGTACATATCAAACTCATGGGGTATAAATAGTCTCAACATGAATATAGTGACCACGCCCATTTCAACGCCCTACTCAAATCGAGCGTAATTTTCGAATATTTTACCATCGTGCGGATTCTCTACGGAAAAAAGCACTCGATGCACCTCTGAAATATTAAACT